TCTTGGGCATAACAGTATGATGGCATTATTCTAAACCCCTGACGAGAGTGATTGTGATTGATTTTCATATGATGAAACATAATGTTTCGATCAGTTTAGTTGAGGTCTAAATCTGGTCTGATATCAGTAACTGATAGGTGTACTTTGTTAATTTATATAAGTCGTTACCATTTTGCTTAGTTTCTTCTGTATAAAAATAAGGAGATGTGATATGATTGCCAACGAGACGTCTCAACTATCCACCAAATGAAGTGGATGTAACCAACGTTGTTAGTCTTTTTTTTTTTATTTTGGGTTCATTTGTTTGTTTCGGAGTTTAGTCTGGCGTCATTTCGCTGAACACCGCCTTCGCGTGTTTGTTTATTGAAAAAAATCCCCGTTTTCATTCTCTATTGCATTATTGCAACAATATGGTATTGAAAAGCAATGAAAAGATTTGAATGAATGAATGAATAAACAAAAGTTTTCTAGATTATATTCGGGAAAAAGATATATATATATACAAGAAATTTGTTTTGCATGCACACGTATAAAAATTGCGGTTTTTATCCAACGCAATCATAGGTTTGAACGTTGTTTTCAATTTAGACTTGTTTATATTTTTTCGTTGTGGCTTGTATTATATTTGCCTTCGGGTTTATATGATCCGTTAATCCTATTTTGACTCCTCAAAATTCAAGAGTCTATCCCAAATTGAGGTAAATTGTATGGCTTTCGAAATACCGTTTCGATTCCTAACATCACTGAAGAGACATTAATTGTCGAAATCCGGATATGGTGTACAAATACCTTTGCACCTTTTGTTTGCGGTATACCATCTTTTCCGCAAGTTTATTGTTTTCTGTTTAGTATTAAATTGATAATTACGATCTATTTATTACATCGGTGATCCGTTTATTTGGCAACAGCCAATGGCAGTCAGCAGGGTTTAAGAACATTTGTTGTTCGACCTGTTAGTGCGTTTTGTTAAAATATACTTTTTCACTTTTTTGGTCTTTTGGAAAATGTTGTTTGTGCTGTATTTAGACCCCTCTAACAAGAAATTTGTTCTGCATGCACACGTATAAAAATTGCGGTTTTTATCCAACGCAATCATAGGTTTGAACGTTGTTTTCAATTAAGACTTGTATATATATATCGTCCTGGTACCTGTTTTGACGCGGACCAGAAATGACGCACCGAGTTAGTTTTCGGTTTTATATTTCTAAAACAAAAATCATGACGTCATTAACATTTGCTGTTCATAACATGATGGTGAAGGTCGTCTGACTACAACGAAGATACCTAAAACTCCGCTCAGAAAGGTAATTATTACTTAAAATGTTCAAGACTAAGCAATTTCCGCCATTTTATTAAGGTCAAAAACATCCTACCTTTCCCGGAGTGATTGTCAGTCCTATATCCACTTTCGTGAATAAAAGTATATAGACGTATGCTTTCTCATTTTGTGTTTTTCAAGTCACGTGACTGTCATGTGATGTGTATTTACATTTAAGCGGGTATCATTGTAGAACATATGATTGTCGCTAATATAAATTTCTATTGTTTATCGATTTTTTCAATCCGATGTATGGAGTATGCATTTGTTATTGCATTATTGTATCAGTGCTGTTTTATTAATATTACTTTTATGGTCAAATATATTGGAATATATATCACTTTCATAAATTTTGAACAATTATGTATTAAATTTTAATAAAATTAGAGGTAACAACTAAATTGAGATTAAAAAATAATATTTACAGAAACTATTCACTAACACAAATGAATAATGCATATCAGCTAGTAAAATAACAAGCCATTCCTATCCGGACTGCCGCACGTAGATATGAAGTACCTGAGGCTACTCTACGGCACAGACTGAGTGGTTATGTAAATCATGAAGCTGTCAAGTCAGAACCAGCTCTCTCATCTAACGAAGAAGAAGAAGCAGATCTTGTTAATCATCAGAAGCTCATGGCTAGAGTGGGATATGGTTACAGCAGGTCAGAAGTTATAGATATTGCAACAAATTATGCCATTTACAAAGGATTAAGGGACAGTGAACATCCACTATCTACAAAGTGGTATAAAAACTTCATGGCTCGTTGACTAGATTTAAAAATCCTCAAACCTAGAAGTCTTGAAATGCAGCGTGCAAAAGCTACATCTGAGGGCAATGTACAGAACTATTACACTGAACTTCTCAAAATTTTGGAAAAATATGATCTATTTGATAAACCAGAAAAAAGTTGATGAAAAAGAATATGCACTAACCATAAGTCTCCATATGTTATTGCAGCTACAGGATCTACACCTCCAGCTATTACCGCAGGGGTCAAAAACTTTGTCTTAGGGTGTGGAAATGCACAAGGCCACAGTGCTTCGTTCTTTGTATTTCCTGGTAACAGGATGAGACAAGAACTTCTTGAAAATAAGTCATCAGGTGCAGACGGTGATGTTTTAGAAAGCGACTGGTCTAATACTGATATTTTCCGCAATTACCTGGAAAATCATCTTTTGAAATACATACTTCACAGCACATCCTATGTCCTAGTATTAATTCTTTTTGGTTGACATAAATCCGATATATTATTAGAACTAATTGAATGGGCCGGAAATGAAAATATAATTTTGTTCGTCTTACTTGCACATACAAGCCACATTCTCAAACCTATGGATGTAGGATGCTTTAAACCTTTTGAAAATATTTCCAATAATGAGTGCCACAAATTTGTGCGGCAAAACTGTTCACAACCAATAACACGTTAAAATATATGTGGTCTGGCTTGTAAATAAAGGCAACAGTAGTATACCGCTGTTCAGTAGTCATAATTCGATTAAGCAAAAACAAATCCGGGTAAAAACTAAACCGAGGGAAACACATCAACTATAAGAGGAAAACAACGGAACAACAGAAACACTGAACTACAACAAAAGCAAACGTCAACATACATAGAAACGGACTGTCTGATAACAACTGCCATATTCCTGACTTGGTACAGGACTTTTTAAGAAAAAATGGTGGGTTGAACCTGGTTTTATGGCTAGACAAACCTCCCGCTTATATGGCAATGTTAAACATACCGCTAAATTGACAACACTACGTGACAGGAATACAGTACAAACAAACGCAAGAACAGTCAGCACAGAAGGGGTATCTTGATAACGTGTTATATTATTCTTTTATTTGTCTTTGTAAATTATTACTTTTACTGTTTACTCTATTTTGGTAAGATCCATTTGACGTGGCTCGGTTCTTGTACATCCTGTCATTGTGTTATTGTGCTATGGTTAATTTTTGTATTCTTCTCTTTCGTTTTTGCTAATGTGCTCTGTCAATATGCCTTTTTGTTTTTCTTTGTTGGCATATTTGCTTGATTTTGTAGTGATTCATTTGACGTGGCTCGGTACTTGTACATACCGTCATTGTGTTGTTGTGCTATGGTAAATTTTTGTATTCTTGTCTTTCGTTTAGCTAATGTGCTTTGTCGATATGCCTTTTTGTTTGTCTTTGTTGACATATTTGCTTGTTTTTGTAGTAATTGAGATTATAACGCAATGTTGACTGATGTACCCCTATTTTTGACATTTTTATCTATTATGTCGGTTTGTTTTGTTCACACATCGTTGTAAATATAATGGAATTTTATGCGACTGTCATACAAGTGATGGGTTTAGCTAGCTATAAAACCAGGTTTAATTCACCATTTTCTACATAAGAAAATGCATGTACTAAGTCAGGAATATGACAGTTGTTATCCATTCGTTTGATGTGTTTGAGCTTTTGAATTTGCCATTTACTTAAGGAATTTCCGTTTAGAATTTTCCTCGGAGTTCGGTATTTTTGTAATTTTACTTTTTTTCACCTAGCAATTTACATAGTGCACTTAGAAAATCTGGGATTTATCCTTATGATCCTCACACAGTTGATTGTTCCAATTTTGCACCAGCACAAGTGTTAATTCAAGAAGATTCAACAGAAGAAACATGTAAAACTAAAGACAGAGAACCTGAAAATGAAACTGAATCAATTGAAAAAGATATAAATGTTCCTGTTAAAGAAATTGAAATTAACAAATACTTCTGAAAAAAATATCCTATCAATATTCAAGGATAAATGGATACATGGCAATGGACCAAAATCACAACCACAAACAAAAATCAAGAGAAAAATATATTCAATACGTGGTTTTAGCTACGGAATGGTTCTACACAATATGCCAAAATCTAAATCGTGAACAATATTACCCAGTTTGCACAGACCACTGGTCAGCATATGGTTCTACCAGATAATAAACAATACTGTATGTAACATGTATGTTCTCTTTGTTATTTAGTTAAATAATTCAAATTGATCTTCAGCTGTAATAAGTTGTAGAAAATGTTTCTTATAGCCCTCACATGCTTAATGAACTGCTGTTTTTGTTAAGCTTATATTTCAGAGTTGTGTGTTTTTCTTAGCTTAAAGCTTAAATTGTAGATGGCAAAAACATTTAATCAGCTATTTTTATTCTTCATTATATATATAAAGCATTGTGCTCATGATGTAAATTTTATGAAATATGAATTGATTGCTTTGGAAAATTTCTATAATTTAGCCAATTATTTCGGAGATAGGTATTATAAACTGTAAACATTAAAAATGATTATCAATACAAGATCTACAAAAATGACACTAAAAGATTTACAAATTTGCAAACATATCAACTGATTGCTATAAAAGTTAAATAGATAACAAAATGGCATATTTTACCAGGTGAGCAATTCAGGGTCTTTGGAGCCTCCTATTAAAGATCTAGATGTAACAAACCGATACGTGTACTTTTTACCAATAGTTATCAAAGGTACTAGGCTTATAATTTGATACGCCAGACGCGCGTTTCGTCTACATAAGACTCATCATTGACGCTCAGATAAAAAAAAACTATGGAAGATATTGAGCACCTAGTTTGGATATGCAATAACATATCAGATTTCTGAATAAAATTCAGTGATTTGATTTATAACCAAACACAAAGTTTTTAAACATGAACGTCATTTTATTTGGAAATTAAGGAAAAACAGGAAACAATAAGTGAAAAACCCCAATAATAATACTATTAACAAAATTCCTATCGCAAAGTACAAAACTTCCAGTAAATTTCTAATACTAGAAAGGAACATATTTTTTTTCAGTAATCCTCATGACGTGGCCAATATCTGTTAGGACCCATGTCTTACAATACTTAAATAATATTTATTATAAAAACCAGGAATTACATAATTGAGTCTCAATTTACATAGCTAACAATTATCTACACCAAGATATATGTTATATATATAATATTGTTATATGTGTTTCGTTTCTTGTTCAATTTGTAATTGTAGCTACCTTTGTGTTTTCATAATAATGTGGGCTCGTACAAATATAACAAAAGCAAACCAATTCTTGTTACCTGTCGTGAATGCTGTAATCAAGACATATTTTTGCGGAGAACATTTAAACTGTTGCTAAAAATCCGAATTTAAATCTGTTATTTTTATCCTTTTATAATTTCTTCTTCGTCATTCTCAAAAGTATAGGTCATTCTTTATTGAAAGATACTATGGAAGCTATACATATATTATAGTTTAAAATATATATTTCAGAATTAAGATGTTTTACAAAATTAATTTTTTCGATTTGGGTTTGCTATAATATTCATTCTATGCATATCATAATTCAAGAATGAAGCATGATATATGGACTAAATAAAGGCAACAGTAGTATACCGGTGTTCAAAAATCATAAATCGATTGAGAGAAAACAAATCCATGTTACAAACTAAAACCGAGGGAAACACATCAACTATAAGATGAAAACAAATGAACAACAGGATTAGTGAAGTGCAACAAAATCAAACGCCAACATACATAGAAACGATCTATTTGATAACAACTGCCATATTCCTGACTTGGTAGAGGACATTTAAAAAAAAATGGTGGGTTGAACCTGGTTTAATGGCTAGCCAAACCTCCCGCTTTATGACAATGTTACAAAATATCGCTAAAATGACAATACTACGTGACAGAAATACACGTAAGAACATTCATCACAGTGAAACGCACAAACAAATATATAATAGTCGACACAACATGCAAACCGTAGAACAACAACGAACATATTCCATCAACGACAGAAACCACAGAATATCAAAAACAGTGACGCGCTTACGTAACTAACATGCAATCTCGAACTTTATACAATTATACTAAGTTCGTATTATATTGATATGAAAATCAAAATATGTGGTATAATTGCTAATTATCCACCAGGGATTAAATGACGTGTATATTAACAACTTACGTTCACTGTAAGGCGTTGGACGACATTTCATTTGCTTTAACCACTTGCAAAATGAGGTGGCAGGAGATATATATTTTCAGTTTTCTTTTAAATATTGAAATATATTCATCATTAGGAATGGAGAGGTTCAATTTATTTTATTATCTGATTGAAGAAGGAATTTTGGAAATTTGGCTTAATAATAGCCTACAAAATAGAACAATTATATCATCCTCATTTCTAAGACATAATAAGTAGTGCATTAAATAATCGCGGAAATAGATATGATCAATAAGTCGGAGGTGGGTTATGACTAATGTTTTAAAACAATTGAAATTTTTTCTGTTACTTCTTTTCTGCAGCGTCTTTCGTCCAATTTCATTGTATATATTTTCTCTTGGATGCCAAGTGGTCTAAGAAGTCCAACAACTATATCACTAGCCTGTCAACACTGAGGTTGTGAGTTTGAACACCGCACGTAGCAGGTGCGCTCGACTCCAATCTTCAGTCACTAGGATTGTTAGTTTTCCTGCCGAAGGTCGGTGGTTCTCTCCGGGCACTCCGACTTCCTCTACCAATTAAAAACTGACCGCTGCTTAAAGATCAATAGCGTTGAAGTGGCATTAAAAAAACAACTTATCAATCGATTAAAATCTTTTGGTACAAACTGCAAATCATTTGACAATTGTTGCAGCTTAGAACTGTATCTTTTCAAGTTTCCTAATATTAACTTTCCCGCAATTATCCCAAACCTAACATGCATAGTCCAAAAGTGCAGTAAGTTGTATAGTATATGCATTCAGTATGAATTAAAAACATTCTACATCAATATATTAAATTATTTGACCGAATTTTTCGCTTAGTTTCTTTCATAATCATGCACGTCTGTCTGCTCTGTGAGTGATTGATACGAAGCTAAATGTTCCACAGTCTTACTTGAAGAAGACGTCATATCATCCTCGTCAACTTCTTCATCATCGCTGCTAATTACACTGTTAATATTGTTAGTAAAATCTGTATCAGTAATTTTTTGGTTCACGCTGCATTTAATATGGAATTGTGGAGATCCTGAATGAAAAGGAATTAAATAATCATCACCAGCATTGGCCAATTCTATGGAACTTTTAACAGATGAATTGTCATTCACGCTGATATATGAATTCCTATCAATAAAACTCAGAGTTTCATCAATTTCATTATAGAAATTCTGATCATTTTCCGAATGGTCCCTCTGATTTCTCTGTATGTCATCACAATTGATCTGAACAGTTTGATTTCTTTCATTTTTATTTTTATTTCTGTACTTCAAAAGTAGTAGAAAGATGATGCAAAATAGAAGCAATATAACTACGCCACATATTGCTACCAAATAAAAAAGAATTTTCCCTGAAATAAAAAATTAATACTCGTCCCTTCACACAAAGCACATTTATGAAACACATGCCTTCTTAATGTCTTAGTTTATAAGACATTGTTTTGTTTCGTTTCACAAAGGTAACCTTTCGACTTGTTAATATTCATATAATACGACATGTAACAATTTTCTTATAACTTTCTATAATGATATACATTATTACAATATATTATTTGTCTTTGTAAATTATTTACTTTACTGTTTAGTACATTTTTGGTAATATCCTCTTGGGTTGACTCAGTACTTATACATCCCGCCTTTGTGTTATTGTGCTATCGTCATTTTTTTGTATTCTTGTCTTTCATTTTTGCTTATGTGCTTTGCCTATATGCCATTTTGTTTTTCTTTGTTGACATATTTGTTTGTTTTATGTGATTAAGATTATAACACAATGTTGACTGCTGTACCCCTATTTTTGACATTTTTACCTACTATGTCTGTTTGTGTTATTCACACTTTGTTGTCAATATAATGGAAATTTATGCGACTGTCATACAAGTGAGAGGTTTAACTAGCTATAAAACCACCATTTCAAACATAAGGAAATGCCTGTACCAAGTCAGGAATATGACAGTTGTTTTCCATTCGTTTGATGTGTTTGAGCTTTTAATTTTGCCATTTGATAAGGGACTTTCCGTTTAGAATTTTCCTTGGAATTTGGTATTTTTGTTATTTTACTTTATACATGCAATCAAACTGTTTGTAGATATCAACGTCAAGCATGTGTGGTTTTTTTTTCTCAGATCTTTAAAAGATTCATAAGTGAATTCTTGTATCTGAAATTTTGACCTAGTGCCTAGTTGAGATTGCAGCAGTGTTTAGTTTGTATTCAACCGTTTAAAGTGTATTACTGTTATGGAATTGACCTGGTTCATGTTTCAACTGTGAGATTTATTATACTGTTCAATTGATTTCAGTTAATTAACATACCAGTAAATAAGTGAGTTGGTAAAGTTTGATATTCTGACTCAGTAGTGTTCTCACCTGTGTTGAGTAAATAAAACAATACTTATTTAAATCAAAAGAAATAACAAATAGAACATAAATATGATCATGACATATCGAAACATAACGAGACAAAAGCTTTTAGAGTATATCTAAATTAAAAAATCATGATTTTTTTCAGTTGAATATATGCAACTGAATCAAATAGACGAGATTTGATTATTAAATGTAAATTCTTTCTTATTTTAACTAAACACAACATTTGCTTTTGTTTCAAATGATGAGGTGGATCAATATTAACTATATAAGAGTTGCATATTAGCATGACAAAAAGTGCTCTACTGATTATAATTATCAGTTCGTTCAAGTGTCTATTTTACCTGAGAACACATCGTTATTTTCTCTTGTTACCGCACCTGAAAATAGAGCAAATATATTTATTATACAACACGTTAAAATGCCAGATTTTGATTGGCTAATACGAGGGAGATAATTTACTCTATCCCATGGCTCCGTGGGAGACAATTTGGTGAATGTCACCCTCTCGTGCAGGCCAATCAAAAATTGATAATTTAAAGGACAATGAATTAAATTTACATCAATAATTTTAAAGACAATGCTCAAATTTTGGCTTCAGAACTTTTTCATAGATCGTCAAAATAAAAAAAATATATTGCTTCACTTTTGTTGTTTTTCTAATAACTTTAACGTTGTTTAGTACATGGCGTCATAGTAACGTATTTTCAATTTAAAATTCAAAAGACAATAATGACAGAACATTCAGTATAATAAATCAAATGACATATAGCTGAGAGGGTGATAGAGCAGATTGTTATTCCTTGAAGATACATTAGCTTCGCCTCGGTTGACAAAGTTTTTTCGGGGTTACAATCTGCTCTATCACCCTCTCATCTATGTGTTATTTATATACTATATTGTTGTAACAAAAGTTGAATAGAAATGAGTTTTGATAAATTGAATTGGAATGTGTCTTACTTGTCTTAATGTCCACAACTATTTTATTTCATTTATCTTTATAGCAAAACCAATTTTCAATAATAATGTATCTTTTTTTAATTGATCTTCAAAAATGCAGAAAAATTCTCTAAAAGGAAATTAAATAAGAAACTTAAAAGTAAGGTTATCTATAACAATTTCATAATATTAAGGACATGTACACATGTGCAATAAAACTTTTTGTACACAGCCTAGTTATAATACATTTGAATATTTGTTAAAGAATATGGTGATTGTTTTATTTGATAAATGGGTTATTATAGTACTACAGTTAACATTTCCAAATACCCAATAGACTCAAGAGGCCCAGAAGTGTTTTCTTCTATCGTAATTGTAACGCAAAAATATGCAGTTTAACGGAAATGGGATGAGAGAAGCACTTGTTTTTTCCTCACGTTTTGTAGATGAAAATCATTGCGGGTTGAAAAAATATCAGTAAAAGGGATTGAAATTCTACTAAACACAAACTTTTGCAGCTAAGTCAGACATTTCCATACTTTTCATCTTGAAAATGTATTGCAAAATAACACAGTGATGCGTTGGTTTTACATTATTATCCACTAGAAACCAAATCGGCTGAATAATTTTATTTTATCCATATATTCACGTGTTTAGCTTAATTTTTTAGAAAGTCAGCAAAATCGTTTGGTTATTGTAACTTATACGGTCAATTTTAATTGTATTTCATATGCATTACTACAAAAACATTTAGTAACTAACCTCTAAACAAAAAAGGTTTCGCCCTCATATAACTTGACATCGATTGCAGAAAGTGACGTGAAGAAGGACTTCCAAAACGGCCCATCTCTAAATCAATTTCCGTTTATAGACACGTGTGCGAAGTACTGTCTAAGTAAAGAGTCATTTGTATGATGGTCAAATCGAGTCACTATGCGAATTTGTTCATGTTCGCTAGAGAAACGCGTTGTAGTTCGTTCGCGTATCCTAGAGCAACGCGTTACTGTTGGTTCAAGTTCCCTAGAGCAACGCGTAACAGTAAGTTTGCGTACGCTAGAGCAATGCGTGACAGTTAGTTCGCGTAACTTAGAGTAACGTGTTACACATTTTTCGCGTACGCTAGAGCAACGAGTGGGTGCTTAACTGAGAATGTGGTTCGCGTGCCTATGGGTAACGTGTTTCATATAAAAACCTGCCACCCCTATAACGAACTAATAAAGTCATCTGCATCAGCAACTGATAATTGGATGCATAATTGGCTAATCAAATTCAGATTATAATTCCGTCAGAATGGCGTCAGGGGACAAACCAGCAGAAGACTTCTAAAATACTAATGTCTATATGCAATACTTCTCTGACACAGGCAATAAATTTTCGTTTGACATCATTCAGAAATTGCCTCGTATTTGTATCCTTTATTTGAAATTTTGAAGTAAGGGCAAATTTTACTGGTAAGAACATATTTCTGAATTCCTGAACAGACGAGTTCATTACAACCGTACAATAGTTGTAACACGTTTCTCCAAGTAATGCAAATGAACTGTAGTAACGCGTTGCATGAACTAACTGGTATGCATCGCTCTATGGTACGCGAAACAACAGTAACGCGTTGCTCTAGGGTACACAGGCAAATTTTACGCACGTCAAATTCACCTCAAACGATCGTGTTCGCGGAAATCATGTGATAATGTTCACATAAATTTCACGTGAATTGAGATTCACATGAATCTCACGTGAACTTTTTCACATGAATTTCACGTGAGATTTACTACACAAAAAATGTATCTATAAAGTATTTTACATGATTTTAATTAAATTTGAAAAGTTAGTTATTTGAAAAAACTTTATTTTAAAACATATCCAACTAAGTAAGACATCACATGACTTTGGTGACGTAGCGAGCCGCCATTTTGTGTCATTTTGTCCCATATTAAAGGCATTGGTGCTTCATTAAAATTCAATTTTCTCATTATTCTGACTCGTTTCCTAACTTTTGCTGCTATATCCCTGGTATTCGAGCATAATTTTACCTAAACATGTTTGTCCTGACAGTTTAATTTTTGATTGAATTACGTCCCTGTAGATTCGTGAAAATTGTACTTTTTCTCGTAATTTCCCCGTTGATTCGATGATAAATCTAGCGATTCCATGTTCAATTGTACATCAAATTCACAAATTCCGTAGATAAAAGTAATACTTTGCAATTGTATTGAAAATATCAACACATATGTCTAACAAAACAGGTTACTTTTAACAGTTTAATTCGAGGGGAAATTACGTCCCAGATCGATTTAATAAAGTGAATTTTTCGGGATTTTTCAAAATGGCGAATGTGTTTGGAAGTGTCGCATGTATTTCTATACATCTTGTATTTTTCATGGAGAATTTGTGCTGTTTCTGTTATTTTCCTCGGTTATATTCTGATATGTTTGATTTCTTAATTTGTTGATAAAAAATAAATCATTTCAAGTGTGAAGTGAAAAAAAAATAGTTACTACTGAAATTTATAAGAAAAATATTTTTCATTTTTTTTTTATAGATTTTTTCCCTTTTTCCCACTTTTTTTTTTGTATAATTTATCTTCATATCAAAGAATAATATATTCTTTTTAGAAAAAAAATATTTTCGTCTCGAGAGAAAAAAAAACATGCACAACAATAGATAAATGATATGTACCTAAAGTTAATGTCCCTTTAAAGTTTCTATGGCCAATATGACCAATATAAGACATGCATCAAACATTGCATACATTTCAACATTGTATACCCGCCAATATTTATCAACAGAGTTATCGGTCATGAATAGGACTGATATGGTTGGGTATGATTACTTTAATTTCACCTGAAAAAAATTCAGTTTCACATGAAATTCCATTTTCTACATAAGGAAATGCCTGTACCAAGTCAGGAATATGACAGTTGTTTTCCATTCTTTTGATGTGTTTGAGCTTTTGAATTTGCCATTTGATAAGGGACTTTCCCTTATGAATTTTCCTTGGAGTTCGGTATTTTTGTTATTTTACGTTTCACGTATAAGCTCGTTTGAGGTCAAATTCACGTGAATTTCATATGAGATTCAAGTAAAATTCACGTGAGTGAAATTTCCCTGTGTACACGAACCAACTGAAACACGTTGCTCTAGGGTACGCGAACAAACTGTAACACGTTTCTCTAGCAAACGTGTCAACAATTGTATTGTGACCCGAATGACCCTTCATACATTTGAGAAGAAGTCGCGCATGTGCCTGCTTGTAACGGTCATATGCTTTAAAACGATATGATAATTATCCCTTTTCGTAATGAGGAGTATGACAGACAGCATTATGATATAAATTACAACGGTAATCTGATAACTGAGTACAAAGTGATAACATATGATATAATATTACATATCGTCACATCTTTTTTTCATAAGAATATAATGGATACAAAATTAATCACTGTTTCCTTATGCATCAAGTATTTGGAGCACTTGGCTTATCATTTCAAAGTAAAGATATTTGTTTAATAATTTGGGTTAGATAGAATGATGGACGGACAACCAAATCGCGACTGAATGTTCTCCAAATAAGGGGAAGCATATAGATTGTTTAGAGTATAACACTGTACCTTTAGAAATATTACTTGACTCTGTTCTATGAGGCACACATCCAATAGCCGAATCACACCTGTAGTATATAACAGTAAACCAGATATATGTATTGTATCTCTTCACAACTTTTTTTTATATAATTAGTTTTGTTTCATAACACTGAATAATAGGAAGAGGACTGAAAAATCTATCCAAATCAATCAAAAGGGCATAAACTACGAAGTTGACAAGGTATCAAAATATGATTTTTTTTTGTTTCAAATATTTATAAAAGCGGAATTCTGAAATAATACTTCTCTATAAGCAGTCAGTTTTGTTTCAATTTTGTAAATTGATTATGTATTGTTGGCTTGCAAGACAAAATTCAACTCATTCTAATTCGTATTCATGATTCATTAGAACAAGAAAAATTGTCAATTTGGAAAAGTGAAACGAGGCAGCCAACGAGGAGGTCACTATCGTTGACTGATTCTATCCACATAAAAATCATTCAAATACAGTTAAAACGACGATATACATATTTTTATAATCTATGACATGAAATCAACCTAGAAAAATCGTTATAATAAGATTGCACGTGCTTGCCAGTGTATTTATATTTATGTTTACTTCAGGTCATATGACCTACGGAATTCTTCGGAGGTCATCTCGATGGTTAATTAGATGGCGTCTATTCTAAAATACACAAATATAACGAGTCCATGAATTGTAAATTGTTTCTTTAGGACTGTTACGTTTTAGTATGTTATAAATAGATTAAGAGATTTTTAGTCGAATTGGTGAACATGAATTTGACAGCTAATGCTCTTTTAAAATCTTCAAAGTATCAACAAGTCTTCTTATTAAGTCTTCAACAATCCAGATTATCACACATTATTTCCATTGTTTTAGTAAGATATGATCTTTTACGATATCACATAAAAAGTTGAAGAGCAAAATGCAGAAAGTACATGGACAAATGTTTCACATATCTAACGTTTTTTTATAATCCAGGAGTCGGTTTCACAAAAAACTTACGACTAAGATTGATTGTAAGTATACTGAATTGTTCATGACTTACGACCAATCTTAGTCGTAAGATTTTTGTAAAACCGAATTCAGATCTGATTGATTTTGTACGTTACGTCCAGTAGCATATATAACGTGTACATGTAATAATTAGCAAAGTAGCTAAGTTTTGAAAAGTTGGTCGTGATAAAGGACTGAAAATTAAGACTGTCCCTGGAAAGTGGGGAATATTGGACAGACAGCTATTTTGTATCAAAACATGTCATCTACGGACCACTGAAAGAACTCTCTAATGTGCAAGAGAACAAAAGCTAATATTTCTGTGCTTGAGGCATAGGATTGGACTATCTCATTATGAAATTGATTGAGTATGTATACATCCAACCAACCAAACGAACGCATCTTCTACCGGATTAGGGAAGTCTTGGTGATCAATTGCTATATCCCAGTAAAACTTTGTGTCCAGCTCTCATTCACTATTGGAGAACAGCGTAAAAGAACATACAACAGATCAACCAACATTATCCTTGTTTTAAGGAGACCTGTTATGATTCGATATCATATATAGATATAAGAAGTTGTGGTATGAATGCCAATGAGACAACTCTCCGTCCAAGTCAAAATTTATAAAAGTAAATCATTATAGGTCAAAGTACGGTCTTCAACACGGAGCCTTGGCTCACACCGAACAGCAAGCTATAAAGGGCCCCAAAAAATTACTAGTGTAAAACCATTGAAACGGAAATACCAACGGTCTAATCTATATAAAAAACGAGAAACGAGAAACACTTATGAACCACATCAACAAATGACAACTACTGAACATCAGATTCCTGACTTAGGACAGATGCAAACAATTGCAGCGGGTTTAAACGTTTTAATGGTACCTAACCTTCACCCTTATCTGAAACAATAGTGTAACATCACAACATAGATAGACATACTATAAAATATCTTGCAAACTTCAGTCAAAGCAGTTATTTTGCCTAGAATCTGGGTCTGTTCGCCCATAAACACGTTTGCGCCCATTCCCATTCGCCCCCTTTCACTTTCGCACCCTACACGTTCGCACCCACTCGTTTTTTTTTTGTGTTGAATAAATCTTAATCACGTTTTGGTTAGTGTATTGCTATAATTTATTATGTTTCATTGTTTCAAAATAAAGTAAGCTCAAAGGGAACAAACTGTTAAAAACAATTATCTTTCGTGTTTTTCATTTAAAATCTTAAATGTTTTACTCATACCAAGCTAAATACATGCAATATTTACTTCAAAGCATTTTAAAACAACAATCATGATTTTCTAACAAACAATAATAATACCAAATTTAGCTGTGTATAAATACTAATTAGCAGTAATCAAACAAAATTAACATTTAATAATTAATCATCAAATTAAAAAAAAAAAATTGATAAAAAAATATTTCATATAATAATTCCGCAATTTTTATTCAGGAAAATATTTTTTTTTTTTTGGTAAATACAAATAAAAAATTATCTAATAATTCGACTGGAATTTGGATAGAAATTGGATGCGAACGTGTAGGGTGCGAATGGACCTAGGTGCGAACGTGTGAGGTGCGAACGTGTATTGGCGCGAACAGACCTGATACCTTTTGCCTACATGCTCATTCCTACACAGCTATTTTACCTAGGGTCAGTTGCCCGCTTGAAGTACTGTATGGGGTTATTTTTACGACGTTGATATTTCCTATTGGCTAACTATTCTGCCTACGTGCAGTTACCTCCGGGAAAAGGGTGTTATTTTTTATGGTGATTACTATAGTAAAGTATTAATTTTGACTGATGTTTTAAGTTTTTACCTGATTAACATCTAATTACAATGGTGCTAAGTCAGTAAGTATCTTCAACAACGGAGAATATATTTTCCCGCCAAACTTAATAACAACCTGGAGTCCGTCCGAACGGTTAATTAGATTGTACTTTGTTAGGAAGATTTTGATTGGTAGACATAAGTGGAAAACTTACGGTATGGAACGAAAAACTTACGGTATGGAATTGAAAACCAACGCGTTGGTTTTTCATACCGTATGAATTACGAATCAACGCGTTGAAAGTGAAGACCAACGCGTTGAAAGTGAAGACCAACGCGTTGAAATTGAAAACCAACGCGTTGAAATTAAAGCCAACGCGTTGAAAGAAGAAACCAACGCGTTGATAATAAAAACCAACGCGTTGAAAGTAAAAACCAACGCGTTGAAAATTTCATACGGTATTTTCATACCGCCAATGACACGAACGGCCACTCATACATGTGTAAATGTAGGTAGATAGATAATATAAAATGCCTGACTGAATGCCCAAGCATAGAAATAATCAATTTCCTATTGATCAAGTGAAAACTGAACTAGAATCCCAAGTGAGAATATCATTCTCGTAGCATACAACTATGCGATGCTTACAATTAACAACTAGTTGGAGTAAAATTGATTTCAAAAACATATGTTCAAGTCCGGTAAGTACGTTCATTTCGTTTATCAAATTAAAACTTAAACATACGACAAAAGAGACGATTTCGCTTATGTCCATAACTAATTTTTTCAATTAAAGATATAACGTCTGTTAATTTTCTATTTAAAATTTATAGCTTTTATTGAATTGTAGTAAATAGACAAAAAAAAATGCAAATTTCTTACATATTTCAAAAGCAAAGGGCTACAGGGGTGACATACCAACTACTAATAATTCAGTTGAGGTAGTTCTTAAACAAAACTGCATTGTAAATACAGACGTTCTTTTTTCTAGTGTTTAACCATTATTCTTTTTTATTATTATTATCAGGAATGTTATGACTTTCGGCCTCAATTAATTTTATTTTGTACAAAAATTAGGCCGTAAGTCTTCTCGTTTGAATTGTTTTACACTTGTCATTTCGGGGCCTTTTATTGCTGACTATGCGGCATGGGCTTTGCTCATTGTTGAAAGCTGTACGGTGATCTATAGTTGTTAATTTTTGTGTCATGCTGTCTCTTTCGGAGAGTTGTCTCATTCACAATCATAAGCCACATCTTCTTATTTTATATAGACAAAAAAAACCAAAAAACAGTCGTTCATACAATCGTTCACAAATTGACGCTACATACAAGCTATTTTTCTTTTAAAGCAGTAATAATTGCAATGACTGACAAAAAAATAAAATGTGGTAGTTTATTGAAATTCAAATACTTCTTGGTTAGTCAGAACATGGAAGTATTATATTGTCAATATAATACTTCCATGGTCAAAACGAAACAAAATAAGCGCAAAATGTAAACGGCTGCTGTGAATAAGAACAAGAAACATGATAGATCACCGATATTTTTTACTGCAACTGGTGAAAATATTGAATGTTTGGTATTCATTGACTAACTTATATAAAACTCAAGCTCTTATGATAATTTGACATCTGTATATTTTAAAATAGCCTTCACGCGTCTTATAGACCATCGCATATCAGCGAAAGGGCCATCGCACTTCGGCGCAGACCATCGCACTTCAGCGTGATCATCGCACATCAACGTCCCAATCGCACCTCCAAGTCTTACATATATATATAAACTTTTCATTTATGTCATAGATCTTCCGTAAAATATTATATTTGAAGTCATAAATAAAGGTATCCGATGGATCCAAGATGAAGTGTGTACTATCCAGTCGAATATCAGCTGTGTTCTTGTTAAATGCATTGAACATGTCCTGTGGATAAGGGTTGGGTTTGTAAAGAGTTTAAAAACTTAACTTTTTTCTTCAGTTGATAATTTTGAAGAATCTTCATTATTGAGATCTTTGTGGGCCACGGAAAGTGCTCGTAATGGATAACGCAGTGCATCTTCCTCAAGTTCATATTGCAATTGGCATGCAGAGGAACGAACCATTAAATCTAATTTTGAGATGGCTCAACAAGATAACAATGTTGCTCAACGAGATGGCTCTATTATTGTCAATTTGTTCTCGTGCTGATTGTACATGGCATATTTGATATTGGACGTTCTTTAGCTAGTCTTTATCCTAGCTCGGTCTTTGTTGATCAGCTCTAGCGAACTAAATAGACAGTTCTTTTTTATTTTTCTATTCCTAAATACACCTAGCTTCGTCCAACATTATCATTAATGGGGGAATGAAGCACGTTTTTGTAAGTGGCAACTGACTATAGCATGTTTTTCTTGCTGTTTTCCGTGCCCGGATACTGTTTACTCTCACTGAAGAATTTTCTGTAATAATATAGATTATCGGCAATTTGTACATTTTCCCTTTGATCTTACTGCTTTATATTTTTCTATCATGAACAGAACCTGATACTCAAAAATATCAGGCAATGACTTCACGTAACATTGCAGTAACGTCACGCGTTCATGTCCATCCGCGTCATCAGATCGATTTTGTAGTGCTAATTTAAGACTCTGTTCGTTTGCATCCGGTTCACAGTTTCGGGACTAGGGTTTCATCTTTTGTCTTAAAATGGAAGCGATTCGGCAGAAACGATATTATCACAATATTATCACATTTAACATGAAATAAAGATTAGTAATAAGACTTTAGAAGTACAAAACTGATTTACACAAGAACGAAGTTGCTTCATTCAGCGATTCGGTCCTGAAATTATTTATAACATATCTTTTTCAAAATGCTCTGTTGATGAATTTAAACATTATTATGAAATTAAGATTCGAGCTTACGCAGGTCAAGCTGTCTTTAGATGGATTTGGGTATTCTATTGTTGAATTATTTTAGTCATAAAATTATTTACGTGTTTAGGTACATTTGTACTTATAAACCTATGTGGCTTTTAAGGTTTGAATTGATCGTTTCTGTATGACGCTTCGGACGCACACAATTAATCAAGTGTTATTTTCATTTCCTAGTACTGGGTCGATACCACTCATTGGTGACTGCGAGTCCACGAGGGTATCATCAGCTCAGTAGTTAGTGTTTTGATAAAGACATGATTAATAACATACTTCTCTAAAATTCTTCGTTGATAAATAAAGAAATTATTAAGAAACTGCGGTTTTAACTCCCTAATGCGAAGTTGTCCTTGGATAATGATGTTTTTTTTATTCCTTTTGGTCATATCATTTGTACGTTTCTATAATTTTTGTGCTATTTTCACATTTCTTGACCGGTGTGAGAAAAATATTTCTCCTCACTAGTGAAAAATTTGTTCTTGGCAAATGATTGGTCGAAATTTAATTATGACGTCAAATTTTCTTGGTTTCTTCTGAATTTTCCTATTGTGACGTCATGAAAAAAGGCGACAATGCCTGATGACGTCACATATAAAGAACACAACTTTCTGCAAATCTTTAAAAAGGAAGGATAAGAATCATTAGAGAAACAGATTCCACCACTATAACTCGTGTATTACGATATTTCTCCACTCTCAACAGTTAAATTTAAAGTATTTAAAAAGCTTGGCAAGCCTCGCGCTTTAAATATTAAAATTTAACTGTCTCGAGTGGAGAAATATCGTAACACACTTGTTGCAGTGGTGAAATCTGTATATCCCTACCTCCCTGGTTTCAAATGTTAATGTTTAAGCTTTTCTGGGGCAGGTAAATCTAGACAAGCGCTTCAAACACACGAAATTTACGAAGCGGTATTTTCACGTAAGAAGAATTACACAAATAAACTTTAGATTTACCATTAACGACTTACAACATATTTCAATGTAGCGTAATGTTTGAATAATATAGGAATATATCTGATTAAAACATTAATATTTTTTTATGTTCACCTTTCAGAAGCGTTACAATAACAGGTATCGACGCATTGCCTTCCATATGTATTCAAAGGACAAAGTTCACAAGTCATTCCATTATCAGAAAAGGTTCCATATGGACATTCTAAAATATAGATCAATATTCATTTTGATTATTGAGATAGCATTTTAAATTCTATACCTCAACACATTATTCTTTAGAATATTTTTAAAGATTGGTATATATTAAGAAGTCTTGAATTTATTTTGTTTTTGAATGATTTTTTTATTAAAAAGTAAAATTAGATGGCAAATTTATCAAGCTTCTTAAATGACATTACGAAAAAACGTCGTTAACAAAAGGTGCGCGGAAAACATATAGTGATTAACAGGTGTTAGATGCACTTCGAAAGTAATGGGGCTGATGATATTGTATGAAACAATCAGTATGAAATAAAGAAATTAACAAGATTACGTGTATTTTTAAAATTTTGAGTGAAGCTTGAAGCAATTAATTACCTTTGCAAATGCTACCGATCTCAACATAATTATAGCAGCAGTATAACTCGCCATCCTGTCGGCTACAAGCAAAAGTTGGGATGAAAGTAATATGATTAATATATTCAATACGTGATTAAGCATGGGACACATGGTTGAATAATACGTTAATAATTTTTTTTGCCTTTTATACTCTGTGTATAATTCCTTTTGTTAGAAAACAAATGTAACACACCTTGTAAATCCAGATAAAATGGACTTAAAAGATTTCACATCCTTTCAAACTTAAACCGCTGATCAAAATCGTTTGTTCAATAAATGACAACAAATGTAGAAAGATAAACCAAATTTGACATTGAAAATATTGAACGTTATTTTCGAATAGTTTCCTTATATCTTTTGCACTTTTGGAAAAATGTCAATGAGGTTCAATAATATGTATTGTTTTAAATCTCAGTACACTACCTGCAAACATGTTCTCCATTAGAAAGGAGTGCTGTCAATATTCTTCCAAAATATATCACAATACAAAAGCATATGAAGTGATCGATATTCTGCATATTCAGGCATCAACAGTACTGATTAATTTGCTAAATATTTGAGTTTAGAATAAATTTTCCTGCAGGAAATGAAACAATATAGCCAAAACGAACGGAAACAATTAGTTATTTTAACATAAACAATAGTCAATGCAATTCAAAAAGCGATAATTTCTACTTATATCAGGAACTGATTGTCTATATTTTTAACAGGCAAATGAAAAAAAAAATGTGTTTTACTTACATATATTGACCGAATTCAAATCAATTTCTTCCACATTAAAAACAAATAACCAAATGTTGTGGTGGGTTCAATTCAATTAAAAATGAATATACCAAAAAACACTGTGTAATATCAAAATTCATATGCATGAGAGCATAAAATATGAAAACCAGCGAAAACAAACATATATTGTCTCATTGGCACTCATACACATTTTCTTATTTATATATATATTTCCAGAAGACAAAACAGACATTTCAACTATAACACACACGGGAATAGAAAAGTAAAAAAACAGAAAAACAAAAAAGTAAATCAGGGCAGTTGTTACACCAACTTTTAATAAGTTCTTTCAACGTTTCTGTGGAAAGACCTTTTGATTTTGTTCTGACCATTTTGTTCCGCCATTTTTGTTTCTGAAATGTCGCTTTTGTTTCACAACATGTCGATAAGATATTATGTTTGTGATATCGAGCCTTATGTGCCATCCAAACTCACCCGTTTCAACCTAACATTTTTCTTATATGGGAATTATCTCCCCGTATACTTATTTTGAAAACTATAATAGATATAGAGAAACTTTAATTCTGAAAAATAATCAGTAAGACAAGATTTACAAATAAGTCAACATGCCCGAAATCGTCAGACCACTCATTGGAGTTATTGTCCTTTAATGACGAATTTTACCAATTTTTTGCGTTTTTGCCTTATATCCTAAAAATTGTAATAGATAGATAGAAACTTAAATAAACAAAAATGATCAGCAAGACATGATCTACATTTAAGACAATATGGAGTAAATTTTCCGACGACTCCTTATTGGAGTTATTGCCCTTTAATGACGATTTTTACCAATAATTTTGCGTTTTGTCTTATATGAGAATAGATAGATAGAAACTTTAAATAAAAGAAAAAAAAAATGATCAGCAAGGCAAGATCCACAAACAAGTCAAATTTTGCCGATATAGTTAGTAGACTGTCACTCTTCATATGAGTGATTGCCCTTAAATGAGTATTTTTTTCACCCTTTTGTGTGTTTTGAGCAAAAAATAAAGAAGATAGAGAGAAACTAAATAGACAAAATGATCAGTAATATAAGATACATGGTAAAATTATTGGTAAAATTGTACTTAAAATAAATGTTGCCACGATGTGTCAGATGCAGGGGTTCGAATCCCGCTGAGGGAAGAACAAAAATCGGCTCACGAAAATTTGCAGATCTAACATTGTTGGGCTAAATTAGAGAAGAAATATAAAAATTTTGGTATTGGCCCTGTATTACCACAAGTTATCCGATGGAGAACGGTTGTCATATATTTATACGTATACGTTAAAATTAAAATTTGATATGACGTCATGGTGAGAAAAAATAAATATCATCCTTTATGACAGACAAAAAAAAAAGCTAATCTGCAATGTCTTCCATCTACTTGCCAATATTCATCATGTTCCGTGTTACAACCCTATATATATTGCAGACGAGGAAAGGAATTACTCGACTTACGAAAGCTATATTTTATATAGCCTAGTTGGTCAACTGGTTTAGGGCACTGGACACAGTGCAGGCGGTGTTGCCACGATGTCTCAGATGCTGGGGTTCGAATCCCGCTGAGGGAAGAACATAAATCTGCTACCGCAAATTTGCAGACATAGCATTGATGGGCAAAATTTGAGACGAAGTATATAAACATTATGGTGTTAGCCCTGTATAACCACAGGTTTTCCGAGGGCTGTCGTAAAGTTGTCACATATTCAGACGTAGGAGTGTACAATAATGTGAACATCTTATTTTTATGACTCAAAATTAACTCTTAATCATATGCTGAATAAGATTTATTTCCAAATTCATTTCATGATTATACTCTCTTAATTATGTTATGCTGAGAAAAATCAAGAGTAGTGCTTGAAATTCTAGGGTGGAGGAGCACCATCCTTGAATACCATGTGGTGATCCCTTAATCCCTTGAACATATTTCAAAACAGTCCAACAGAGACAATTGCCTGTTGACTGAAAACAAGTTCACTTAAAAGGAGTATAGCACTTTCTAAAAACTCATTTCAAATATTGAAATATCAAAAACAAAAAACAAAAAACGAAAGTGTTTTCATTTTTCGTTTTTGATTTCTTAAAAACCAAAATGAAAAACAAAAGTGTTTTCGTTTTTCATTTTTGATTTCTCGAAAACCAAAACGGAAAACGGAAGTCTTTTCATTTTTCGTTTTTGATTTTTCAAAAACCAAAATGAATATCATAAGTGTTTTTGTTTTTCGTTTTTGATTTCTCTAAACAAGAAAAGAATCAACATTTGCATTAGATTTCTGCATTTTGCTCTATTTAATTATCGTTTTACGTTATACAATGTTTTCCTTTCCTTTTTGATAGCCATTGATACCCCGGTGTATTTACTACTTAATGTAGACAGAATAGACCGCCTGACTTATGATTTGAAAGGTGATTAATGAATCAAAGACTTTCAAATTTCCTTGTTTTTATCTATAAAAAAATATAAAATTATTATATTTAAATATAAAATAAATCACAAATTTGAATAATACAATGAAATATTATATAGATGGTGAAAATTAAACGATTAATTACAACATCATATTAACAAGGAAGGTTACTACTTATCTAATAGGAAAACTAGCCCTGTCATTAAAGTATGCACAGCGGTTATCCAGATCAATAGTATTTTTTGATTCGGAGATAATGTCGACGAATGGAAAAGATATTATCAATCTGAACAATAAGGATGCATGATCTTTACTTTTAAGTTTGAAAGGTTGGTTATGTAAGATTATTAGAACTGCATGATGACTGAGGCTAATCAGCCAATATTAGACATATAACACGAACATTCAAGACGGTAATATGTATACGTTATTTAGATTATTTAAAAAAAAATGTCCCACTCCAAGTCGTCGTTTAGTAGGCCATCTTATGAGTCACTAGGAAGCAGTCCAAAAGAAGATGTCTATCACGACAATAAATAGCTTTACTTCTATCACAATTTTTGTTTTGGTTAATGATGACCTTCTTATTCGTTTTAGGAATAAATACTAAAAAGCAAAAATTTGCTTTAGGCGTTTATAAGTTGGTGGTACGTTTAAAATTTAGCGATCATAATAATAATATAATTATTGTAAAACCCTAAGTAAACTTTAAGATTGAAAGACTTTTTGTAAATGGCCCTGGTTTGAAATAAATCAAGGGGTAATCGGCTCTACCCTTTTTAAAAGTTTTTGACTATTACATCGGCAGGCGACGCTTACCAAAATGAAATAATTTGTATCCGAAAGACAATACATCTAATAGCTTCACTATGTTTATATCTATTTTATAGAGTTGTTGTTTGGTTAAATATTTTATTTTTGTTTATTCGATACATACTTAAACGTTGCCAAAATCTTTCCAAAATTTTCCGGTTTGGGCTATCTGCAGACTCTTTAGGCGTTTATAGTTTTGTAATCTGTTTAAGTATTACCCATTAAACTGTTAGAACCTTAGAGAACATACATTGGGTTGCGATACGTGTACTTAGAATTTAGTTAAAGATTGGTATACTTTTAAATAGAGGCTCTAAAGAGTCGGTGTCGCTCACCATGGTCTATGTGCATATTCAACAAAGGACATACATAGAAGACGAGAATAGAATGCATGACAAACATCTTTGTTTTGTTGATCTTGTATTGTTGATCATTTGTTCTGCATAGTTTCTATCTATCTTCTCTAGTTTTTGCTCAAAACACAAAAGAGGGTATGCAAGTGACTTGTTAGTAGATCTTGCCTTATCGGTCATTTTTGTGATTTAAAGTTTCTATTTATCTATTTAAATTTTTATCATGTAAAGCAAAACATGATAAAAATCGTCATTAAAGGGCAATAATTCCAAGGAGACGTCGGACGATTTCCTCAATATTGTGTTAATTGTAGATCTTGTGTTGCTGATCATTTTTGCTTACTAAAGTTTCTATCTTTCTATTATAATTTTTAAGATATACATTTGTAAGGCAAATACGCAAGTAAATGATGGGAAAAATATTTAAAAAAATACCATCCGGAAAATATTGAAAGAGACGTGTATAAAAATTTGGATCAACTGACCAAGAATTCAGAAGGGAAGCTCCGCACTTATGTAAAATTTAAGAATAATTATGGTTTCGAAAAGTATCTAAATATCATGAACAATTTTGAGCTTAGGAGGTCATTAACAAAATTTAGGGTGTCATCTCATCATTTGCAGATTGAAATAGGACGATACCAGGGTACTCCCGGCCTCCACACCTAAGACTATGTCATCAGTGTAACTCTGGTAATATTGAAGATGAAGTTCATTTTCTCTTTTATTGCACAAAATATAGCGAAGACAGACACCATTTATATCACATTATTTCGGAATCATGTCCCAATTTCATTAACTTAAATTCCCAAGAGAAATTGCTATGGCTGCTGTCTTGTGAGAACTCGCCTGTATTAAAAGAGTTGTGTATATTCCTGGTGAAACACAGCAAATAGCAGATTTATATGACATGTTTCGCATAATTAGCAATAATTTTTGTTGTTATTTAAAAAATTATTTGTTAATTGACTGGATTCATTTTCTCTATTTATTTTGTTCATCTGCTTCTGACACGGGGAGGATTGCTGTTATTGCCTATCGCAATCAACAGTATATCCTAGAGCACCGTCCCTTGGTGTCTCCTGCAGATTAACAAATTTTTCCATCTTTAAAGATAATAACTTAAGTATGTTCAAACTTTATTATTATTTTTTTTCTTTAATTTTTAATTTTAATTTTATTTATATACTGTACAATGTCTCATGTTTGTTGATTATATTATCATATTGTTAATTGTAAATGTCCCCTGTTGGACCCTGATTGGAATAATAAAAATATTTGATTTGATTTGATATAATTGCCAATGAGACAACTTTCCACCAAGGTTCAAATAAAGTTGATGTAAGCAATTAAAGGTACTAACCATAAGGCCTTCAACAGTAAGTAAAACCGATGTATACCATATAGTAGGCTATAAAAAGCACCAACATGAAAAATATGAAACAATTCGGTTGAGAAAACTAACGGCCTAATTTTTAACAAAACAATTAAAGAAAAACAAACATGACAGACAAGAACCAACGACAACCACTGTACTACAGGCTCCTGACTTGAGACAGGCACATACAGAATGTGGTCCAATATCCAAAATCTAAATACATTTGTACAAGATTAGATTCAGTACCAAGAATTTAATCTACTAGTATTTATCAATGGACAATAACAGGTAAGTTTGTCAAGGGGTTAGCTTTATAAAAATATTATATATATATAGATTATAACATGGCATTTTTCATATCAAACCCCTTATCAGCCTTAGGTCATGATATCAGCCCAAGAGCCGACAGGCTCGAGGGATGATTTTGACCATATAATTTACCTCAATTTATGATAGACTCTTGAATTTTAAAGAGTCGAAATAGGATGAACGGATCATATAAACCCGAAGGCAAATATAATACAAGCCCAAACGAAAAAATATAAACAAGTCTAAATTGTAACTTGGATGGAGAGTTGTCTCATTGGCACTCATACCACATCTTCCTTTATCTAAATTGAAAACAACGTTCAAACCTATGATTGATATATATATATAGCATTCTGAAAATCAGTTTATATGGAATAAAAACAAACCTACCACCAAGTTCTCAAAAATATTTACGGAGGAAATGAAAAAAAAGACAATTCACAAAATATCATTCATCATTAATACAATATCTTTTTAAAAAAATCCATAAAACTTAGTACCTTTAATTATTTTTTAAAAAGATCTAATATTGAATAGAAAATATCAAACTATACTTATACATAATTTCTTATATAAAATTAAAATTTATATGCAGAAGTGTTATGATGATCTAAATGAAACCGCAGAGTGTGATGTACGGTTGTTTTGGAAACAAATAAAACGTTTATAAGGTTGCTCTTCCAAAATATATCCCGATATTGTGTAAGAAAATAAAGTGTACAGTTCTCCGGAGTCTGTAGCAAACTGTTTCGCTGAGTATTTTCAGGAGCTGTACCAACCAAAAGACAATGATAATTTTGAAAATGAATTTAAATGTTCTATTGAGAGCGTATACAAAGATATTATTAAAACCTGTGGTGTTGAAGCTAGACTCAAGCTAGCAGCCACTCCGCTAGCAGCCAGTTTTCAGATATGTCTATAAACCCAAAAGTTGCATAAGACTCAAATGTTTTTTTTATACTATATATAACGTTTTTTAATTTAACAATCGAAGACACTATGTATGAGTTTAAGGGGTGGATCCAGGATTTTTGAAGGGGAAAGGGGGGGGGGGGGGGGCTAATTGCCAAAAACATATACGTATACCGCTGATAGGAGGATTGCAAAAAAATGTTGAACGATTTTATATGCCGGAAAAAAGAAGATATTTTTCCGTTTAAAGGGGAGGGTGTCGTACACCTACCACGCTTTATCTGAATCCTCCACTGAATTTTACATTTTCATTTTTTGTTCAAGAATTAAAAGACATTTGTATATTTTATTAGCACACCGCGCTGCACGTTGAAAAGGGTGAGAAATAATTTAAAAAAAATATAGAACACTACAAGAGTGGAGAAATAAGGAATTTCTTTGTTAAAACACAATGTGAAGCAGCGTTTTTCTTTAACAATTTAACCCTAAAAAGCACGGAAATGTGGAATAAAGTTTTTGTTATAAATCTTTAAAAAATATGATTTACCTCCCTTTAAAAATTATTACTTTAGAATAATTGAAATATTAAGTCTTCTTTGATGCGTAAAACAACAAATACTTGTATCATAAGGTGTCAAGCATTTATCTATTTACAATTAATGATCATGTAACAAACAATTGCAGAAATTATATATAATTAAGCTATTTTCAGTTTTATTTTATGCCCATTTCATAAGATTCATTATGAATATTCATGAACTTCGAACAACAATGGTTTGGACAGGGGAGGGGGTATAGCCAGTATAGCCAGTGAAGGATGATATGGGCAATGTTGCGGAATATTGATCAACGGTAAGAAATTTTTACGAAGATAAAGATTAAAATAGAATAAGAGTAAAATAAAAGCTGAGATATTGAACACTAATCTTACAGAAAACAATATAAATATATCCCATTAAGCTTTAACATTCACAAACACGATAAAAAAAAAAGGAAGGGACTACTATACTAGTCAACAAAAGAAACGATACAAGGCAATGTATTTTCCATATATCATGAAATTGGATACACTGTACCGAGGTAAATAACTGCCCTATTGGTCTATATTTAAGGTCTTTCCACTCCGTTAGGAAAGACCTTATTGTTTTTCTAATGTTTTTTTTTTTTTTTTTTCTTTTTTTTTTTTTTTTTCTTTTTCTTTTTTTTTTTTTTTTTTTTTTTTCTTTTTTTTCTTCCAACATTTTTTTGGGAATGCCCTCCCCCCGTTTCTGTTCAAGTTATCAAGACCAAATATGGACCATCGATAGACATCATCATGAAGTATTACCACATGACCCTGTTAAGGATTTCATCATCCCCTGTAGAAGTTATCCCCCTTTTATTGGATTTTTTCAACATGGCCCCCCTTCGTTGTTTTTGAAGATATCATGACCTTATTTTGACAATAGGTTGATCTCATCATGATGTACTACCATATGTGACTGCATAGGATTTCATCATCCCCTATGTGAGTTATATCCCCTTGAAGCGATTTCTTTCCTTTGCATTTTTCTCAAAAAGTATTAGAGATAGAATCGATTTGAAAACGGCAACATATACAGGAACTGATGGCAATGTTAATGAACATATAAAATAATTTTGTTATTGACCCTTATAAGGAGTTATTTCTCTTAAAAAAATATACACAATTTTTGAAAAATTGTATTTCGAGAACCCTAAGTCGTAGAGACTTGGGACCTACACCAATAATCTTAAGTTCATGTGACCTTCAATTTGCACCCAAGGTCAAAGGTCACAGAGTGCAAAAAAACTTTACGCTGCAATTTCAAGCTTGCATATTAAGAAAACCATAAGAGTTTGCTGCATACATACTGTGTATAAAATGTTCCTCTCGACGAGCTCTACATTTTATACATTAAGCTCAAAAATGTCCGACTGTCTGTTCAAAAGTTACATTAACATAATTCTTAAAACTATAGTAACATATGTATATCTTTTAAAAGGTAACAGATATCAACCTACTATAAACTGCAAAGATGATCAGTAATTCAAGGCCTTCAATTTGAGGTCAATGTCAGGTCATGATGAAATTTAACCTTGACCTTCAGAGTGTACTATGACCTTGACCTTGTGACATTTGAAAGGTCAAGTGGTCTTGAGTTGAATGGTGGTAGTCCCATGTCTCTACGACTTACGGTTCTCAAGTTTGATATTGCATCATATATTTGATAATTCATTGTGACCTTGATGAACTTTGGAAATGTCCAATTTTTTTTCTAAAATATTGTCCTTTTACTGTAGATCATTTTTCTTTTAACAAATTTGAGATACCTGTTGTCGTTTTAGAGATAATGCACTTTGAAATTTTGCGAGCGGAGGCATGTATTTCTGAATCAACAACAGGTAACCACCTGAAATTATAAGAAATTGAAGAGTTTAACATGGTTATATGTTTGACCAAATACCAAAAACATTCAATGAAAAAAAAAACCAAAAAATCAATTTGAAATTTTCATGTTTTGCATTGACTTTGTAAGTTTCATAAGTTCTATTTATATAATTGATATTGCATCATTTATGGCACTTTGCCAAATGGGGTCATTTGATATATCAAATTGAAGGTCTTAACGAGCTCTACTCAAAAATGAAAATGTAAAACCCCCTTTTCATCCCAGGGGGAAGGGTGGGGTCATTTAGTGCAAAAAATTAAAACTTCTCAGATGGTTAGGTTGTCGCATATCAAATGAAAGTCCATAAAGCGTACATTTCAAATATCAAATTGACGTCCCCAAAAAATGGGTTGGTTGGGGTCATTGAGTGCAAAAAAAATAAATTTTCTTTTAAGATAAGGTTGTTGTATATCAAATGAAAGGTCTTACCGTGTACATTTCAAATATCAGATTCCCGTCCTCAAAACATTAGTTGGATGGGGTTATTAAGTGCAAAAATCAAACTTTCTAGAACATGGCGTTGTCGCATATCAAATGAAAAATAATCAAGTCTAGATTACATATATCATACTTCCGATATCAAAAATGTAGGCGGATGGGGTCATTAAGTGTAAAAAGTGAAAATTTTCAGAAAGTATGCTTGTCGTATATCAAATGAAAGCTCTTAAAGAGTACATTACAAAAACATCACTTTTGCAGGAAAGACCTTTCAATTGTTTTACAAACAATTGAGATACTAGTTTTTTCTTTTTAAGGTCTTTCCACTCCGTTAGGAAAGACCTTATTGTTTTTCTAATGTTTTTTTTTTTTCTTTTTTTTTTTTTTTTCTTTTTCTTTTTTTTTTTTTTTTTTTTAAGGTCTTTCCACTCCGTTAGGAAAGACCTTATTGTTTTTCTAATGTTTTTAAGGTCTTTCCACTCCGTTAGGAAAGACCTTATTGTTTTTCTAATGTTTTTTTTTTTTCTTTTTTTTTTTTTTTTTCTTTTTCTTTTTTTTTTTTTTTTTTTTTTTCTTTTTTTTCTTCCAACATTTTTTTGGGAATGCCCTCCCCCCGTTTCTGTTAAAGTTATCAAGACCAAATATGGACCATCGATAGACATCATCATGAAGTATTACCACATGACCCTGTTAAGGATTTCATCATCCCCTGTAGAAGTTATCCCCCTTTTATTGGATTTTTTCAACATGGCCCCCCTTCGTTGTTTTTAAAGATATCATGACCTTATTTTGACAATAGGTTGATCTCATCATGATGTACTACCATATGAGGCTGCATAGGATTTCATCATCCCCTATGCGAGTTATATCCCCTTGAAGCGATTTCTTTCCTTTGCATTTTTCTCAAAAAGTATTAGAGATAGAATCGATTTGAAAACCGCAACATATACAGGAACTGATGGCAATGTTAATGAACATATAAAATAATTTTGTTATTGACCCTTATAAGGAGTTATTTCTCTTAAAAAAATATACACAATTTTTGAAAAATTGTATTTCGAGAACCGTAAGTCGTAGAGACTTGGGACCTACACCAATAATCTTAAGTTTATGTGACCTTCAATTTGCACCCAAGGTCAAAGGTCACAGAGTGCAAAAAAAATTTACGCTGCAATTTCAAGCTTGCATATTAAGAAAACCATAAGAGTTTGCTGCATACATACTGTGCATAAAATGTTCCTCTCGACGAGCTCTACATTTTATACATTAAGCTCAAGAATGTCCGACTGTCTGTTTAAAAGTTACATTAACATAATCTTAAAACTATAGTAACATATGTATATCTTTTAAAAGGTAACAGATATCAACCTACTATAAACTGCAAAGATGATCAGTAATTCAAGGCCTTCAATTTGAGGTCAATGTCAGGTCATGATGAAATTTAACCTTGACCTTCAGAGTGTACTATGACCTTGACCTTGTGACATTTGAAAGGTCAAGTGGTCTTGAGTTGAATGGTGGTAGTCCCATGTCTCTACGACTTACGGTTCTCAAGTTTGATATTGCATCATATATTTGATAATTCATTGTGACCTTGATGAACTTTGGAATTGTCCAATTTTTTTTCTAAAATGTTGTCCTTTTACTGTAGATCATTTTTCTTTTAACAAATTTGAGATACCTGTTGTCGTTTAAGAGATAATGCACTTTGAAATTTTGCGAGCGGAGGCATGTATTTCTGAATCAACAACAGGTAACCACCTGAAATTATAAGAAATTGAAGAGTTTAACATGGTTATATGTTTGACCAAATACCAAAAACATTCAATGAAAAAAAAAAACCAAAAAATTAATTTGAAATTTTCATGTTTTGCATTGACTTTGTAAGTTTCATAAGTTCTATTTATATAATTGATATTGCATCATTTATGGCACTTTGCCAAATGGGGTCATTTGATATATCAAATTGAAGGTCTTAACGAGCTCTACTCAAAAATGAAAATGTAAAACCCCCTTTTTATCCCAGGGGGAAGGGTGGGGTCATTTAGTGCAAAAAATTCAAACTTCTCAGATGGTTAGGTTGTCGCATATCAAATGAAAGTCCATAAAGCGTACATTTCAAATATGAAATTGACGTCCCCAAAAAATGGGTTGGTTGGGGTCATTGAGTGCAAAAAATATAATTTTCTTTTAAGGTAAGGTTGTTGTATTTCAAATGAAAGGTCGTAACGTGTACATTTCAAATATCAGATTCCTGTCCTCAAAAAATAAGTTGGATGGGGTTATTAAGTGCAGAAATCAAACTTTCTAGAACATGGCGTTGTTGCATATCAAATGAAAGATAATCAAGTCTAGATTACATATATCATACTTCCGATATCAAAAATGTAGGCGGATGGGGTCATTAAGTGTAAAAAGTGAAAAATTTTAGAAGGTATGCTTGTCGTATATCAAATGAAAGGTCTTAAAGAGTACATTACAAAAACATCACTTTTGCAGGAAAGACCTTTCAATTGTTTTTCAAACAATTGAGATACTAGTTTTTTTTTCTTTTTTTTTTTTTTTTTCTTTTTAAGGTCTTTCCACTCCGTTAGGAAAGACCTTATTGTTTTTCTAATGTTTTTTTTTTCTCTTTTTTTTTTTTTTTTTCTTTTTCTTTTTTTTTTTTTTTTTTTTTTTCTTTTTTTTCTTCCAACATTTTTTTGGGAATGCCCTCCCCCCGTTTCTGTTGAAGTTATCAAGACCAAATATGGACCATCGATAGACCTCATCTTGAAGTATTACCACATGACCCTGTTAAGGATTTCATCATCCCCTGTAGAAGTAATCTCCCTTTTATTGGATTTTTTCGACATGGCCCCCTCTCGTTGTTTTTAAAGATATCATGACCTTATTTGGACAATAGGTAGATCTCATCATGATGTACTACCATATGAGGCTGCATAGGATTTCATTATCCCCTATGCGAGTTATATCCCCTTGAAGCAATTTCTTTCCTTTGCATTTTTCTCAAAAAGTATTAGGGATAGAATCGATTTGAAAACAGCAACATGTACACGAACAGATGGCAATGTTAATGAACATATAAAATAATTTTGTTATTGACCCTTATAAGGAGTTATTTCTCTTGAAAAAATATACACAATTTTTGAAAAATTGTATTTCGAGAACCGGAAGTCGTAGAGACTTGGGACCTACACCAATAATCTTAAGTTCATGTGACCTTCAATTTGCATCCAAGGTCAAAGGTCACCGAGTGCAAAAAAAAATTACGCTGCAATTTCAAGCTTGCATATTAAGAAAACGATAAGAGTTTGCTGCATACATACTGTGTATAAACTGTTCCTCTCGACGAGCTCTACATTTTATACATTAAGCTCAAAAATGTCCGACCGTCTGTTCAAAAGTTACATTAACATAATTCTTAAAACTATAGTAACATATGTATATCTTTTTAAAGGTAACAGATATCAACCTTCTATAAACTGGAAAGATGATCAGTAATTCAAGACCTTCAATTTGAGGTCAATTTCAGGTCATGATGAAATTTAATCTTGACCTTCAGAGTGTACCATGACCTTGACCTTGTGACATTTGAAAGGTCAAGTGGTCCTGAGTTGAATGGTGGTAATCCCATGTCTCTACGACTTCCGGTTCTCAAGTTTGATATTGCATCATATATTTGATAATTCATTGTGACCTTGATGAACTTTGGAATTGTCCAGATTTTTTTTTAAAATGTTGTCCTTTTACTGCAGAGCATTTTTCTTTTAACAGATTTGAGATATCTGTTGTCATTTAAGAGATAATGCAGTTTGAAATTTTGCGAGGGGAGGCATGTATTTCTGATTTAACAACAGTTTACCACCTGAAATTTTCAGAAATTAAAGAGTTCATCATGGTTATATGTTTGATTAAATACCAAAAACATTCAATGAAAAAAAAACCCATAAAATCAATTTGAAATTTTATGTTTTGCATTTACTTTGTAAGTTTCATAATTTCTATTTATACAATTGATATTGCATCATTTTTGGCACTTTGCCAAATGGGGTCATTTGATATATCAAATTGAAGGTCTTAACGAGCTCTACTCAAAAATGAAAATGTTAAACCCCTTTTTATCCCAGGGGGAAGGGTGGGGTCATTTAGTGCAAAAAATTCAAACTTCTCAGATGGTCAGGTTGTCGCATATCAAATGAAAGTCCATAAAGCGTACATTTCAAATATCAAATTGACGTCCCCAAAAAATGGGTTGGGTGGGGTCATTGAGTGCAAAAAATAAAATTTTCTTTTAAGGTAAGGTTGTTGTATTTCAAATGAAAGGTCGTAACGTGTACATTTCAAATATCAGATTCCTGTCCTCAAAAAATGAGTTTGATGGGGTTATTAAGTGCAAAAATCAAACTTTCTAGAACATGGCGTTGTCGCATATCAAATGAAAGATCATCAAGTCTACATTACATATATCATACTTCCGATCTCGAAAATTAAGGCGGATGGGGTCATTTAGTGTAAAAAGCGAAAAGTTTCAGAAGGTATGCTTGTCGTATATCAAATGAAAGGTCGTACAAAATACATTACGAAAACATCACTTTAACAGGAAAGACCTTTCAATTGTTTTACAAACAATTGAGATACTAGTTCTTTTTTTTTTTTTTTTTTTTTTTCTTTTTTTTCTTCCAACATTTTTTTGGGAATGCCCTCCCCCAGTTTCTGTTAAAGTTATCAAGACCAAATATGGACCATCGATAGACATCATCATGAAGTATTACCACATGACCCTGTTAAGGATTTCATCATCCCCTGTAGAAGTTATCCCCCTTTTATTGGATTTTTTCAACATGGCCCCCCTTCGTTGTTTTTAAAGATATCATGACCTTATTTTTACAATAGGTTGATCTCATCATAATGTACTACCATATGAGGCTGCATAGGATTTCATCATCCCCTATGCGAGTTATATCCCCTTAAAGCGATTTCTTTCCTTTGCATTTTTCTCAAAAAGTATTAGGGATAGAATCGATTTGAAAACGGCAACATATACAGGAACAGATGGCAATGTTAATGAACATATAAAATAATTTTGTTATTGACCCTTATAAGGAGTTAATTCTCTTAAAAAAATATACACAATTTTTGAAAAATTGTATTTCGAGAACCGTAAGTCGTAGAGACTTGGGACCTACACCAATAATCTTAAGTTCATGTGACCTTCAATTTGCACCCAAGGTCAAAGGTCACAGAGTGCAAAAAAAATTTACGCTGCAATTTCAAGCTTGCATATTAACAAAACGATAAGAGTTTGCTGTATACACACTGTGCATAAAATGTTTCTCTCGACGAGCTCTACATTTTATACATTAAGCTCAAAAATGTCCGACCGTCTGTTCAAAAGTTACATTAACATAATTCTTAAAACTATAGTAACATATGTATATCTTTTGAAAGGTAACAGATATCAACCTACTATATACTGCAAAGATGATCAGTAATTCAAGGCCTTCAATTTGAGGTCAATGTCCGGTCATGATGAAATTTAACCTTGACCTTCAGAGTGTACTATGACCTTGACCTTGTGACATTTGAAAGGTCAAGTGGTCTTGAGTTGAATGGTGGTAGTCTTATGTCTCTACGACTTCCGGTTCTCAAGTTTGATATTGCATCATATATTTGATAATTCATTGTGACCTTGATGAACTTTGGAATTGTCCAATTTTTTTTCTAAAATGTTGTCCTTTTACTGTAGATCATTTTTCTTTTAACAAATTTGAGATACCTGTTGTCGTTTAAGAGATAATGCACTTTGAAATTTTGCGAGCGGAGGCATGTATTTCTGAATCAACAACAGGTAACCACCTGAAATTATAAGAAATTGAAGAGTTTAACATGGTTATGTGTTTGACATAATACCAAAAACATTCAATGAAAAAAAAAACCAAAAAATCAATTTGAAATTTTCATGTTTTGCATTGACTTTGTAAGTTTCATAGGTTCTATTTATATAATTGATATTGCATCATTTTTGGCACTTTGCCAAATGGGGTCATTTGATATATCAAATTGACGGTCTTAACGAGCTCTACTCAAAAATGAAAATGTAAAACCCCCTTTTCATCCCAGGGGGAAGGGTGGGGTCATTTAGTGCAAAAAATTAAAACTTCTCAGATGGTTAGGTTGTCGCATATCAAATGAAAGTCCATAAAGCGTACATTTCAAATATCAAATTGACGTCCCCAAAAAATTGGTTGGGTGGGGTCATTGAGTGCAAAAAATATAATTTTCTTTGAAGGTAAGGTTGTTGTATTTCAAATGAAAGCTCGTAACGTGTACATTTCAAATATCAGATTCCTGTCCTCAAAAAATAAGTTGGATGGGGTTATTAAGTGCAGAAATCAAACTTTCTAGAACATGGCGTTGTTGCATATCAAATGAAAGATAATCAAGTCTAGATTACATATATCATACTTCCGATATCAAAAATGTAGGCGGATGGGGTCATTAAGTGTAAAAAGTGAAAATTTTTAGAAGGTATGCTTGTCGTATATCAAATGAAAGGTCTTAAAGAGTACATTACAAAAACATCACTTTTGCAGGAAAGACCTTTCAATTGTTTTACAAACAATTGAGATACTAGTTTTTTCTTTTTTTTCTTCCAACATTTTTTTGGGAATGCCCTCCCCCCGTTTCTGTTCAAGTTATCAAGACCAAATATGGACCATCGATAGACATCATCATGAAGTATTACCACATGACCCTGTTAAGGATTTCATCATCCCCTGTAGAAGTTATCCCCCTTTTATTGGATTTTTTCAACATGGCCCCCCTTCGTTGTTTTTAAAGATATCATAACCTTATTTTGACAATAGGTTGATCTCATCATGATGTACTACCATATGTGACTGCATAGGATTTCATCATCCCCTATGCGAGTTATATCCCCTTGAAGCGATTTCTTTCCTTTGCATTTTTCTCAAAAAGTATTAGAGATAGAATCGATTTGAAAACGGCAACATATACAGGAACTGATGGCAATGTTAATGAACATATAAAATAATTTTGTTATTGACCCTTATAAGGAGTTATTTCTCTTAAAAAAATATACACAATTTTTGAAAAATTGTATTTCGAGAACCCTAAGTCGTAGAGACTTGGGACCTACACCAATAATCTTAAGTTCATGTGACCTTCAATTTGCACCCAAGGTCAAAGGTCACAGAGTGCAAAAAAACTTTACGCTGCAATTTCAAGCTTGCATATTAAGAAAACCATAAGAGTTTGCTGCATACATACTGTGTATAAAATGTTCCTCTCGACGAGCTCTACATTTTATACATTAAGGTCAAAAATGTCCGACTGTCTGTTCAAAAGTTACATTAACATAATTCTTAAAACTATAGTAACATATGTATATCTTTTAAAAGGTAACAGATATCAACCTACTATAAACTGCAAAGATGATCAGTAATTCAAGGCCTTCAATTTGAGGTCAATGTCAGGTCATGATGAAATTTAACCTTGACCTTCAGAGTGTACTATGACCTTGACCTTGTGACATTTGAAAGGTCAAGTGGTCTTGAGTTGAATGGTGGTAGTCCCATGTCTCTACGACTTACGGTTCTCAAGTTTGATATTGCATCATATATTTGATAATTCATTGTGACCTTGATGAACTTTGGAAATGTCCAATTTTTTTTCTAAAATATTGTCCTTTTACTGTAGATCATTTTTCTTTTAACAAATTTGAGATACCTGTTGTCGTTTTAGAGATAATGCACTTTGAAATTTTGCGAGCGGAGGCATGTATTTCTGAATCAACAACAGGTAACCACCTGAAATTATAAGAAATTGAAGAGTTTAACATGGTTATATGTTTGACCAAATACCAAAAACATTCAATGAAAAAAAAAACCAAAAAATCAATTTGAAATTTTCATGTTTTGCATTGACTTTGTAAGTTTCATAAGTTCTATTTATATAATTGATATTGCATCATTTATGGCACTTTGCCAAATGGGGTCATTTGATATATCAAATTGAAGGTCTTAACGAGCTCTACTCAAAAATGAAAATGTAAAACCCCCTTTTCATCCCAGGGGGAAGGGTGGGGTCATTTAGTGCAAAAAATTAAAACTTCTCAGATGGTTAGGTTGTCGCATATCAAATGAAAGTCCATAAAGCGTACATTTCAAATATCAAATTGACGTCCCCAAAAAATGGGTTGGTTGGGGTCATTGAGTGCAAAAAAAATAAATTTTCTTTTAAGATAAGGTTGTTGTATATCAAATGAAAGGTCTTACCGTGTACATTTCAAATATCAGATTCCCGTCCTCAAAACATTAGTTGGATGGGGTTATTAAGTGCAAAAATCAAACTTTCTAGAACATGGCGTTGTCGCATATCAAATGAAAAATAATCAAGTCTAGATTACATATATCATACTTCCGATATCAAAAATGTAGGCGGATGGGGTCATTAAGTGTAAAAAGTGAAAATTTTCAGAAAGTATGCTTGTCGTATATCAAATGAAAGCTCTTAAAGAGTACATTACAAAAACATCACTTTTGCAGGAAAGACCTTTCAATTGTTTTACAAACAATTGAGATACTAGTTTTTTCTTTTTAAGGTCTTTCCACTCCGTTAGGAAAGACCTTATTGTTTTTCTAATGTTTTTTTTTTTTCTTTTTTTTTTTTTTTTCTTTTTCTTTTTTTAAGGTCTTTCCACTCCGTTAGGAAAGACCTTATTGTTTTTCTAATGTTTTTTTTTTTTCTTTTTTTTTTTTTTTTTCTTTTTCTTTTTTTTTTAAGGTCTTTCCACTCCGTTAGGAAAGACCTTATTGTTTTTCTAATGTTTTTTTTTTTTCTTTTTTTTTTTTTTTTTCTTTTTCTTTTTTTTTTTTTTTTTTTTTTTCTTTTTTTTCTTCCAACATTTTTTTGGGAATGCCCTCCCCCCGTTTCTGTTAAAGTTATCAAGACCAAATATGGACCATCGATAGACATCATCATGAAGTATTACCACATGACCCTGTTAAGGATTTCATCATCCCCTGTAGAAGTTATCCCCCTTTTATTGGATTTTTTCAACATGGCCCCCCTTCGTTGTTTTTAAAGATATCATGACCTTATTTTGACAATAGGTTGATCTCATCATGATGTACTACCATATGAGGCTGCATAGGATTTCATCATCCCCTATGCGAGTTATATCCCCTTGAAGCGATTTCTTTCCTTTGCATTTTTCTCAAAAAGTATTAGAGATAGAATCGATTTGAAAACCGCAACATATACAGGAACTGATGGCAATGTTAATGAACATATAAAATAATTTTGTTATTGACCCTTATAAGGAGTTATTTCTCTTAAAAAAATATACACAATTTTTGAAAAATTGTATTTCGAGAACCGTAAGTCGTAGAGACTTGGGACCTACACCAATAATCTTAAGTTTATGTGACCTTCAATTTGCACCCAAGGTCAAAGGTCACAGAGTGCAAAAAAAATTTACGCTGCAATTTCAAGCTTGCATATTAAGAAAACCATAAGAGTTTGCTGCATACATACTGTGCATAAAATGTTCCTCTCGACGAGCTCTACATTTTATACATTAAGCTCAAGAATGTCCGACTGTCTGTTTAAAAGTTACATTAACATAATCTTAAAACTATAGTAACATATGTATATCTTTTAAAAGGTAACAGATATCAACCTACTATAAACTGCAAAGATGATCAGTAATTCAAGGCCTTCAATTTGAGGTCAATGTCAGGTCATGATGAAATTTAACCTTGACCTTCAGAGTGTACTATGACCTTGACCTTGTGACATTTGAAAGGTCAAGTGGTCTTGAGTTGAATGGTGGTAGTCCCATGTCTCTACGACTTACGGTTCTCAAGTTTGATATTGCATCATATATTTGATAATTCATTGTGACCTTGATGAACTTTGGAATTGTCCAATTTTTTTTCTAAAATGTTGTCCTTTTACTGTAGATCATTTTTCTTTTAACAAATTTGAGATACCTGTTGTCGTTTAAGAGATAATGCACTTTGAAATTTTGCGAGCGGAGGCATGTATTTCTGAATCAACAACAGGTAACCACCTGAAATTATAAGAAATTGAAGAGTTTAACATGGTTATATGTTTGACCAAATACCAAAAACATTCAATGAAAAAAAAAAACCAAAAAATTAATTTGAAATTTTCATGTTTTGCATTGACTTTGTAAGTTTCATAAGTTCTATTTATATAATTGATATTGCATCATTTATGGCACTTTGCCAAATGGGGTCATTTGATATATCAAATTGAAGGTCTTAACGAGCTCTACTCAAAAATGAAAATGTAAAACCCCCTTTTTATCCCAGGGGGAAGGGTGGGGTCATTTAGTGCAAAAAATTCAAACTTCTCAGATGGTTAGGTTGTCGCATATCAAATGAAAGTCCATAAAGCGTACATTTCAAATATGAAATTGACGTCCCCAAAAAATGGGTTGGTTGGGGTCATTGAGTGCAAAAAATATAATTTTCTTTTAAGGTAAGGTTGTTGTATTTCAAATGAAAGGTCGTAACGTGTACATTTCAAATATCAGATTCCTGTCCTCAAAAAATAAGTTGGATGGGGTTATTAAGTGCAGAAATCAAACTTTCTAGAACATGGCGTTGTTGCATATCAAATGAAAGATAATCAAGTCTAGATTACATATATCATACTTCCGATATCAAAAATGTAGGCGGATGGGGTCATTAAGTGTAAAAAGTGAAAATTTTTAGAAGGTATGCTTGTCGTATATCAAATGAAAGGTCTTAAAGAGTACATTACAAAAACATCACTTTTGCAGGAAAGACCTTTCAATTGTTTTTCAAACAATTGAGATACTAGTTTTTTTTTTTTTTTCTTTTTTTTCTTCCAACATTTTTTTGACATGCCCTCCCCTTGTTTCTATTGGAGTTATCAAGACCAAATATGGACCATCGGTAGACCTCATCATGAAGTTTTACCAGATGACCCTGTTAAGGATTTCATCATCCTCTTTAGAAGTTATCCCCCTTTTATTGGTTTTTTTCAACATGGCCCCCCCCCTCGTTGTTTTTAAAGATATCATGTCCTTATTTGTACAATAGGTAGATCTCATCATGATATATTACCATATGAGGCGGCGAAATATTTCATCATCCCCTTTGAGAGTTATATCCCCTTGAAGCAATTTCTTTTATTTGCATTTTTCTTAAAAAGTATTAGACATAGAATCAAATTGAAAGTGGCAGCATCAACAAGAACAAATGGCAATGTTAATAAACATGAACAATTAGTTTGTTATTAACCCTTATAAGGAGTTATTTCCCTTTCAAAATTATACACAATTTTTGAAAAATTCTATTTCGAGAACCGGAAGTCGTAGAGACTTGGGACCTTCACCAATAATCTTTAATTTGTGTGACCTTTAATTTGCACCCAAGGTCAAAGGTCACTGAGTGCAAAAAAAATTTACGCTGCAATTTCAAGCTTACATATTAAGAAAACGATAAGAGTTTGCTGCATATATACTGCGTATAAAATGTTCCTCTCGACGAGCTCTACATTTTATACATTAAGCTCAAAACTGTCCGACCGTCTGTTCAAAAGTTGCAACGAGATAATTCTTAAAAGTATAATATTGTGTTTATATCTTTTTAAAGGTAACAGATATCTACCTACTATAAATTAGAAAAATGATCAGTATTTTCAGACCTTCAATTTGAGGTCAATGTCAGGTCATGATGAAATTTTACCTTGACCTTCAAAGTGTAATATGACCTTGATCTTGTGATATTTGAAAGGTCAAGTGGTCCTGAGTTGAATAGTGGTAGTCCCATGTCTCTACGACTTCCGATTCTCAAGTTTGGTATTGCATTATATATTTGATGATTCATTATGACCTTGATGAACTTCGGAATTGTCCCAAATTTTTTTCTGTAATGTTGTCCTTTTACTGTAGATCATTTTACTTTTATCATATTTGAGATAACTGTTGTCGTTTTAGAGATAATGCACTTTGAAATTTTGCGAGCGGCGGCATGTATTTCTGAATCAACAACAGGTAACCACCTGATATTTTCAGAAAATGAAGAGTTTAACATGGTTATATGTTTGACAAAATACCAAAATCTTTCAATGAAAAAAAACCCCAAAAAATCAATTTGAAGTTTTCATGTTTTGCATTTACTTTGTAAGTTTCATAAGTTCTATTTATATAATTGATATTGCATCATTTTTGGCACTTTGCCAAATGGGGTCATTTGATATATCAAATTGAAGGTCTTAACGAGCTCTACTCAAAAATGAAAATGTTAAACCCCTTTTTCATCCTAGGGGGAAGGGTGGGGTCATTTAGTGCAAAAAATTCAAACTTCTCAGATGGTTAGGTTGTCGCATATCAAATGAAAGTCCATAAAGCGTACATTTCAAATATCAAATTGACGTCCCCAAAAAATGGGTTGGGTGGGGTCATTGAGTGCAAAAAATAAAATTTTCTTTTAAGGCAAGTTTGTTGTATTTCAAATGAAAGGTCGTAACATATACATTTCAAATATCAGATTCCTGTCCTCAAAAAATGAGTTGGATGGGGTTATTTAGTGCAAAAATCAAACTTTCTAGAACATGGCGTTGTCGCATATCAAATGAAAGATCATAAAGTCTAGATTACATATATCATACTTCCGATCTCGAAAATTAAGGCAGATGGGGTCATTAAGTGTAAAAAGCGAAAAGTTTCAGAAGGTATGCTTGTCGTATATCAAATGAAAGGTCGTACAAAGTACATTACGAAAACATCACATTAACAGGAAAGACCTTTCAATTGTTTTACAAACAATTGAGATACTAGTTTTTTTTTTTTTTTCTTTTTTTTCTTCCAACATTTTTTTGGGAATGCCCTCCCCCCGTTTCTGTTAAAGTTATCAAGACCAAATATGGACCATCGATAGACATTATCATGAAGTAATACCACATGACCCTGTTAAGGATTTCATCATCCCCTGTAGAAGTTATCCCCCTTTTATTGGATTTTTTCAACATGGCCCCCCTTCGTTGTTTTTAAAGATATCATGACCTTATTTTGACAATAGGTTGATCTCATCATGATGTACTACCATATGAGGCTGCATAGGATTTCATCATCCCCTATGCGAGTTATATCCCCTTGAAGCAATTTCTGTCCTTTGCATTTTTTTCAAAAAGTATTAGGGATAGAATCAATTTGAAAACCGCAACATATACAGAAACAGATGGCAATGTTAATGAACATATAAAATAATTTTGTTATTGACCCTTATAAGGAGTTATTTCTCTTAAAAAAATATACACTATTTTTGAAAAATTGTATTTCGAGAACCGTAAGTCGTAGAGACTTGGGACCTACACCAATAATCTTAAGTTCATGTGACCTTCAATTTGCACCCAAGGTCAAAGGTCACAGAGTGCAAAAAAAATGTACGCTGCAATTTCAAGCTTGCATATTAAGAAAACGATAAGAGTTTGCTGCATACATACTGTGTATAAAATGTTCCTCTCGACGAGCTCTACATTTTATACATTAAGCTCAAAAATGTCCGACCGTCTGTTCAAAAGTTACATTAACATAATTCTGAAAACTAAAGTAACATATGTATATCTTTTAAAAGGTAACAGATATCAACCTACTACAAACTGCAAAGATGATCAGTAATTCAAGGCCTTCAATTTGAGGTCAATGTCAGGTCATGATGAAATTTAACCTTGACCTTCAGAGTGTACTATGACCTTGGCCTTGTGACATTTGAAAGGTCAAGTGGTCCTGAGTTGAATGGTGGTAGTCCCATGTCTCTACGACTTCCGGTTCTCAAGTTTGATATTGCATCATATATTTGATAATTCATTGTGACCTTGATGAACTTTGGAATTGTCCATTTTTTTTTTAAAATGTTGTCCTTTTACTGTAGATCATTTTTCACTTAACAAATTTGAGATACCTGTTGTCGTTTAAGAGATAATGCAGTTTAAAATTTTTCGAGCGGAGGCATGTATTTCTGAATCAACAACAGTTTACCACCTGATATTTTCAGAAATGAAAGAATTCAACATGGTTATATGTTTGACTAAATACCAAAAACATTCAATGAAAAAAAAACCCAAAAAATCAATTTGAAATTTTCATGTTTTGCATTTACTTTGTAAGTTTCATAAGTTCTATTTATATAATTGATATTGCATCATTTTTAGCACTTTGCCAAATGGGGTCATTTGATATATCAAATTGAAGGTCTTAACGAGCTCTACTCAAAAATGAAAATGTTAAACCCCCTTTTCATCCTAGGGGGAAGGGTGGGGTCATTTAGTGCAAAAAATTCAAACTTCTCAGATGGTTAGGTTGTCGCATATCAAATGAAAGTCCATAAAGCGTACATTTCAAATATCAAATTGACGTCCCCAAAAATGGGTTGGGTGGGGTCATTGAGTGCAAAAAATTAAATTTTCATTTAAGGTAGGGTTGTTGTATTTCAAATGAAAGGTCGTAACGTGTACATTTCAAATATCAGATTCTTGTCCTCAAAAAATTAGTTGGATGGGGTTATTAAGTGCAAAAATAAAACTTTCTAGAACATGACGTTGTCGCATATCAAATGAAAGATAATCAAGTCTAGATTACATATATCATACTTCCGATATCAAAAATGTAGGCGGATGGGGTCATTAAGTGTAAAAAGTGAAAATTTTCAGAAGGTATGCTTATCGTATATCAAATGAAAGTTCTTAAAGAGTACATTACAAAAACATCACTTTTGCAGGAAAGACCTTTCAATTGTTTTACAAACAATTGAGATACTAGTGTTTTTTTTTCTTTTTCTTTTTCTTTTTTTTTTTTTTTTCTTTTTTTTCTTCCAACATTTTTTTAACATGCCCTACCCCCGTTTCTGTTAAAGTTATCAAGACCAAATATGGACCATCGATAGACATTATCATGAAGTAATACCACATGACCCTGTTAAGGATTTCATCATCCCCTGTAGAAGTTATCCCCCTTTTATTGGATTTTTTCAACATGGCCCCCCTTCGTTGTTTTTAAAGATATCATGACCTTATTTTGACAATAGGTTGATCTCATCATGATGTACTACCATATGAGGCTGCATAGGATTTCATCATCCCCTATGCGAGTTATATCCCCTTGAAGCAATTTCTGTCCTTTGCATTTTTTTCAAAAAGTATTAGGGATAGAATCAATTTGAAAACCGCAACATATACAGAAACAGATGGCAATGTTAATGAACATATAAAATAATTTTGTTATTGACCCTTATAAGGAGTTATTTCTCTTAAAAAAATATACACTATTTTTGAAAAATTGTATTTCGAGAACCGTAAGTCGTTGGGACCTACACCAATAATCTTAAGTTCATGTGACCTTCAATTTGCACCCAAGGTCAAAGGTCACAGAGTGCAAAAAAAATGTACGCTGCAATTTCAAGCTTGCATATTAAGAAAACGATAAGAGTTTGCTGCATACATACTGTGTATAAAATGTTCCTCTCGACGAGCTCTACATTTTATACATTAAGCTCAAAAATGTCCGACCGTCTGTTCAAAAGTTACATTAACATAATTCTGAAAACTAAAGTAACATATGTATATCTTTTAAAAGGTAACAGATATCAACCTACTACAAACTGCAAAGATGATCAGTAATTCAAGGCCTTCAATTTGAGGTCAATGTCAGGTCATGATGAAATTTAACCTTGACCTTCAGAGTGTACTATGACCTTGGCCTTGTGACATTTGAAAGGTCAAGTGGTCCTGAGTTGAATGGTGGTAGTCCCATGTCTCTACGACTTCCGGTTCTCAAGTTTGATATTGCATCATATATTTGATAATTCATTGTGACCTTGATGAACTTTGGAATTGTCCATTTTTTTTTTAAAATGTTGTCCTTTTACTGTAGATCATTTTTCACTTAACAAATTTGAGATACCTGTTGTCGTTTAAGAGATAATGCAGTTTAAAATTTTTCGAGCGGAGGCATGTATTTCTGAATCAACAACAGTTTACCACCTGATATTTTCAGAAATGAAAGAATTCAACATGGTTATATGTTTGACTAAATACCAAAAACATTCAATGAAAAAAAACCCCAAAAAATCAATTTGAAATTTTCATGTTTTGCATTTACTTTGTAAGTTTCATAAGTTCTATTTATATAATTGATATTGCATCATTTTTAGCACTTTGCCAAATGGGGTCATTTGATATATCAAATTGAAGGTCTTAACGAGCTCTACTCAAAAATGAAAATGTTAAACCCCCTTTTCATCCTAGGGGGAAGGGTGGGGTCATTTAGTGCAAAAAATTCAAACTTCTCAGATGGTTAGGTTGTCGCATATCAAATGAAAGTCCATAAAGCGTACATTTCAAATATCAAATTGACGTCCCCAAAAATGGGTTGGGTGGGGTCATTGAGTGCAAAAAATTAAATTTTCATTTAAGGTAGGGTTGTTGTATTTCAAATGAAAGGTCGTAACGTGTACATTTCAAATATCAGATTCTTGTCCTCAAAAAATTAGTTGGATGGGGTTATTAAGTGCAAAAATAAAACTTTCTAGAACATGACGTTGTCGCATATCAAATGAAAGATAATCAAGTCTAGATTACATATATCATACTTCCGATATCAAAAATGTAGGCGGATGGGGTCATTAAGTGTAAAAAGTGAAAATTTTCAGAAGGTATGCTTATCGTATATCAAATGAAAGTTCTTAAAGAGTACATTACAAAAACATCACTTTTGCAGGAAAGACCTTTCAATTGTTTTACAAACAATTGAGATACTAGTGTTTTTTTTTCTTTTTCTTTTTCTTTTTTTTTTTTTTTTCTTTTTTTTCTTCCAACATTTTTTTAACATGCCCTACCCCCATTTCTGTTGAAGTTATCAAGACCAAATATGGACCATCGGTAGACCTCATCATGAAGTATTATCACATGACCCTGTTAAGGATTTCATCATCCCCTTTAGAAGTTATCTCCCTTTTACTAGGTTTTTTCAACATGGCCCCCCGTCGTTGCTTTTAAAGATATCATGACTTTATGTGGACAATAGGTAGATCTTATTATGATGTATTACTCTATGAGGCTGCGTAGGATTTCATCATCCCCTTTGAGAGTTATATCCCCTTGAAGCAATTTCTTTTATTTGAATTTTTCTTAAAAAGTATAAGAGATAGAATCGAATTGAAAATTGCAGCATCTACAAGAACAAATGGCAATGTTAATAAACATAAACAATTAGTATGTTATTAATTCTTATACGGAGTTATTTCCCTTGAAAAATTTTACTCAATTTTAAAAAAAATTGTATTTCGAGAACCGGAAGTCGTAGAGACTTGGGACCTTCACCAATAATCTTTATTTCATGTGACCTTTAACTTCCACCCAAGGTCAAAGGTCACTGAGTGCAAACAAAATTTATGCTGCAATTTCAAGCTTACATATTAAGAAAACGATAAGAGTCTGCTGCACACAAACTGTGTATAAAATGTTCCTCTCGACGAGCTCTATATTTTATTCTTTAAGCTCAAAACTGTCCGACCGTCTGTTCACAAGGTACGATGAGATAATTCTAAAAAGTGTAGTATTGTGTGTATATCTTTTTAAAGGTAACAGATATCAACCTACTATAAATTGCAAAAATGATCAGTATTTTAAAACCTTCAATTTGAGGTCAATGTCAGGTCATGATGAAATTTAACCTTGACCTTCAGAGTGTGCTATGACCTTGACATTGTGACATTTGAAAGGTCAAGTGGTTCTGAGTTGAATAGTGGTAGTCTTATATCTCTACGACTTCCGGTTCTGAAGTTTCATATTGCATCATATATTTGATAATTCATTGTGACCTTGATGAACTATGGAATTGTCCCAATTTCTTTTATACAATGTTGCCCTTTACGTGCAGATCATTTATCATTTAACAGATTTGAGATATCTGTTGTCGTTTAAGAAATAATGCAGTTTAAAATTTTTCGAGCGGAGGCATGTATTTCTGAATCAACAACAGTTTACCACCTGAAATTTTTAGAAATTAAAGAATTCACTATTGTTGTATGTTTGAATAAATACCAAAAACATTCAATGAAAAAAACCCCCAAAAAATCAATTTGAAATTTTCATGTTTTGCATTTACTTTGTAAGTTTCATAAGTTCTATTTATATAATTGATATTGCATCATTTTTGGTACTTTGCCAAATGGGGTCATTTGATATACCAAATTGAAGGTCTTTACGAGCTCTACTCAAAAATGAAAATGTTAAACCCCCTTTTCGTCCCAGGGGGAAGGGTGGGGTCATTTAGTGCAAAAAATTAAAACTTCTCAGATGGTTAGGTTGTCGCATATCAAATAAAAGTCCATAAAGCGTACATTTCAAATATCAAATTTCCTAAAAAAATGGGTTGGGTGGGGTCATTGAGTGCAAAAAATATAATTTTCTTTTAAGGTAAGGTTGTTGTATTTCAAATGAAAGGTCGTAACGTGTACATTTCAAATATCAGATTCCTGTCCTCAAAAAATTAGTTGGATGGGGTTATCAAGTGCAAAAATAAAACTTTCTAGAACATGGCGTTGTCGCATATCAAATGAAAGATAATCAAGCCTAGATTACATATATCATACTTTCGATATCAAAAATGTAGGCGGATGGGGTCATTAAGTGTAAAAAGTGAAAATTTTCAGAAGGTATGCTTGTCGTATATCAAATGAAGGGTCTTAAAGAGTAGATTACAAAAACATCACTTTTGCAGGAAAGACCTTTCAATTGTTTTACAAACAATTGAGATACTAGTTTTTTTTTTTTTTTTTTCTTTTTTTTCTTCCAACATTTTTTTGGGAATGCCCTCCCCCCGTTTCTGTTCAAGTTATCAAGACCAAATATGGACCATCGATAGACATCATCATGAAGTATTACCACATGACCCTGTTAAGGATTTCATCATCCCCTGTAGAAGTTATCCCCCTTTTATTGGATTTTTTCAACATGGCCCCCCTTCGTTGTTTTTAAAGATATCATAACCTTATTTTGACAATAGGTTGATCTCATCATGATGTACTACCATATGTGACTGCATAGGATTTCATCATCCCCTATGCGAGTTATATCCCCTTGAAGCGATTTCTTTCCTTTGCATTTTTCTCAAAAAGTATTAGAGATAGAATCGATTTGAAAACGGCAACATATACAGGAACTGATGGCAATGTTAATGAACATATAAAATAATTTTGTTATTGACCCTTATAAGGAGTTATTTCTCTTAAAAAAATATACACAATTTTTGAAAAATTGTATTTCGAGAACCCTAAGTCGTAGAGACTTGGGACCTACACCAATAATCTTAAGTTCATGTGACCTTCAATTTGCACCCAAGGTCAAAGGTCACAGAGTGCAAAAAAACTTTACGCTGCAATTTCAAGCTTGCATATTAAGAAAACCATAAGAGTTTGCTGCATACATACTGTGTATAAAATGTTCCTCTCGACGAGCTCTACATTTTATACATTAAGGTCAAAAATGTCCGACTGTCTGTTCAAAAGTTACATTAACATAATTCTTAAAACTATAGTAACATATGTATATCTTTTAAAAGGTAACAGATATCAACCTACTATAAACTGCAAAGATGATCAGTAATTCAAGGCCTTCAATTTGAGGTCAATGTCAGGTCATGATGAAATTTAACCTTGACCTTCAGAGTGTACTATGACCTTGACCTTGTGACATTTGAAAGGTCAAGTGGTCTTGAGTTGAATGGTGGTAGTCCCATGTCTCTACGACTTACGGTTCTCAAGTTTGATATTGCATCATATATTTGATAATTCATTGTGACCTTGATGAACTTTGGAAATGTCCAATTTTTTTTCTAAAATGTTGTCCTTTTACTGTAGATCATTTTTCTTTTAACAAATTTGAGATACCTGTTGTCGTTTAAGAGATAATGCACTTTAAAATTTTGCGAGCGGAGGCATGTATTTCTGAATCAACAACAGGTAACCACCTGAAATTATAAGAAATTGAAGAGTTTAACATGGTTATATGTTTGACCAAATACCAAAAACATTCAATGAAAAAAAAAACCAAAAAATCAATTTGAAATTTTCATGTTTTGCATTGACTTTGTAAGTTTCATAAGTTCTATTTATATAATTGATATTGCATCATTTATGGCACTTTGCCAAATGGGGTCATTTGATATATCAAATTGAAGGTCTTAACGAGCTCTACTCAAAAATGAAAATGTAAAACCCCCTTTTCATCCCAGGGGGAAGGGTGGGGTCATTTAGTGCAAAAAATTAAAACTTCTCAGATGGTTAGGTTGTCGCATATCAAATGAAAGTCCATAAAGCGTACATTTCAAATATCAAATTGACGTCCCCAAAAAATGGGTTGGTTGGGGTCATTGAGTGCAAAAAAAATAAATTTTCTTTTAAGATAAGGTTGTTGTATATCAAATGAAAGGTCTTACCGTGTACATTTCAAATATCAGATTCCCGTCCTCAAAACATTAGTTGGATGGGGTTATTAAGTGCAAAAATCAAACTTTCTAGAACATGGCGTTGTCGCATATCAAATGAAAGATAATCAAGTCTAGATTACATATATCATACTTCCGATATCAAAAATGTAGGCGGATGGGGTCATTAAGTGTAAAAAGTGAAAATTTTCAGAAAGTATGCTTGTCGTATATCAAATGAAAGCTCTTAAAGAGTACATTACAAAAACATCACTTTTGCAGGAAAGACCTTTCAATTGTTTTACAAACAATTGAGATACTAGTTAAGGTCTTTCCACTCCGTTAGGAAAGACCTTATTGTTTTTCTAATGTTTTTTTTTTTTCTTTTTTTTTTTTTTTTTCTTTTTCTTTTTTTTTTTTTTTTTTTTTTTTCTTTTTTTTCTTCCAACATTTTTTTGGGAATGCCCTCCCCCTGTTTCTGTTGAAGTTATCAAGACCAAATATTGACCATCGATAGACCTCATCTTGAAGTATGACCACATGACCCTGTTAAGGATTTCATCATCCCCTGTAGAAGTTATCTCCCTTTGATTGGATTTTTTCGACATGGCCCCCCCTCGTTGTTTTTAAAGATATCATGACCTTATTTAGACAATAGGTAGATGTCATCATGATGTACTACCATATGAGGCTGCATAGGATTTCATTATCCCCTATGCGAGTTATATCCCCTTGAAGCAATTTCTTTCCCTTGCATTTTTCTCAAAAAGTATTAGGGATAGAATCGATTTGAAAACAGCAACATGTACAGGAACAGATGGCAATATAAATGAACATATAAAATAATTTTGTTATTGACCCTTATAAGGAGTTATTTCTCTTGAAAAAATATACACAATTTTTTAAAAATTGTATTTCGAGAACCGGAAGTCGTAGAGACTTGGGACCTACACCAATAATCTTAAGTTCATGTGACCTTCAATTTGCATCCAAGGTCAAAGGTCACCGAGTGCAAAAAAAAATTACGCTGCAAATTCAAGCTTGCATATTAAGAAAACGATAAGAGTTTGCTGCATACATACTGTGTATAAAATGTTCCTCTCGACGAGCTCTACATTTTATACATTAAGCTCAAAAATGTCCGACCGTCTGTTCAAAAGTTACATTAACATAATTCTAAAAACTATAGTAACATATGTATATCTTTTTAAAGGTAACAGATATCAACCTTCTATAAACTGCAAAGATGATCAGTAGTTCAAGACCTTCAATTTGAGGTCAATTTCAGGTCATGATGAAATTTAATCTTGACCTTCAGAGTGTACCATGACCTTGACATTGTGACATTTGAAAGGTCAAGTGGTCCTGAGTTGAATGGTGGTAGTTCCATGTCTCTACGACTTCCGGTTCTCAAGTTTGATATTGCATCATATATTTGATAATTCATTGTGACCTTGATGAACTTTGGAATTGTCCAAATTTTTTTTTAAAATGTTGTCCTTTTACTGCAGAGCATTTTTCTTTTAACAGATTTGAGATATCTGTTGTCATTTAAGAGATAATGCAGTTTGAAATTTTGCGAGCGGAGGCATGTATTTCTGATTTAACAACAGTTTACCACCTGAAATTTTCAGAAATTAAAGAGTTCATCATGGTTATATGTTTGATTAAATACCAAAAACATTCAATGAAAAAAAACCCCATAAAATTAAATTTATATTTTTTATGTTTTGCATTTACTTTGTAAGTTTCATAATTTCTATTTATACAATTGATATTGCATCATTTTTGGCACTTTGCCAAATGAGGTCATTTGATATATCAAATTGAAGGTCTTAACGAGCTCTACTCAAAAATGAAAATGTTAAACCCCTTTTTTATCCGAGGGGGAAGGGTGGGGTCATTTAGTGCAAAAAATTCAAACTTCTCAGATGGTTAGGTTGTCGCATATAAAATGAAAGTCCATGAAGCGTACATTTCAAATATCAAATTGACGTCCCCTAAAAATGAGTTGGGTGGGGTCATTGAGTGCAAAAAATAAAATTTTCTTTTAAGGTAAGGTTGTTGTATATCAAATGAAAGGTCGTAACGTGTACATTTCAAATATCAGATTCCTGTCCTCAAAAAATGAGTTGGATGGGGTTATTAAGAGCTAAAATCAAACTTTCTAGAACATGGCGTTGTCGCATATCAAATGAAAGATCATCAAGTCTACATTACATATATCATACTTCCGATCTCGAAAATTAAGGCGGATGGGGTCATTAAGTGTAAAATGCGAAAAGTTTCAGAAGGTATGCTTGTCGTATATCAAATGAAAGGTCGTACAAAGTACATTACGAAAACATCACTTTAACAGGAAAGACCTTTCAATTGTTTTACAAACAATTGAGATACTAGTTTTTCTAATGTTTGTTTTTTTTTTTTCTTTTTTTTTTTTTTTTTTTTTTTTTTTCTTTTTTTTCTTCCAACATTTTTTTGACATGCCCTCCCCTTGTTTCTATTGGAGTTATCAAGACCAAATATGGACCATCGGTAGACCTCATCATGAAGTTTTACCAGATGACCCTGTTAAGGATTTCATCATCCCCTTTAGAAGTTATCTCCCTTTTATTGGTTTTTTTCAACATGGCCCCCCCTCGTTGTTTTTAAAGATATCATGTCCTTATTTGTACAATAGGTAGATCTCATCATGATATATTACCATATGAGGCGGCGAAATATTTCATCATCCCCTTTGAGAGTTATATTCCCTTGAAGCAATTTCTTTTATTTGCATTTTTCTTAAAAAGTATTAGACATAGAATCAAATTGAAAGTGGCAGCATCAACAAGAACAAATGGCAATGTTAATAAACATGAACAATTAGTTTGTTATCAACCCTTATAAGGAGTTATTTCCCTTTCAAAATTATACACAATTTTTGAAAAATTCTATTTCGAGAACCGGAAGTCGTAGAGACTTGGGACCTTCACCAATAATCTTTAATTTGTGTGACCTTTAATTTGCACCCAAGGTCAAAGGTCACTGAATGCAAAAAAAATTTACGCTGCAATTTCAAGCTTACATATTAAGAAAACGATAAGAGTTTGCTGCATACATACTGCGTATAAAATGTTCCTCTCGACGAGCTCTACATTTTATACATTAAGCTCAAAACTGTCCGACCGTCTGTTCAAAAGTTGCAACGAGATAATTCTTAAAAGTATAATATTGTGTTTATATCTCTTTAAAGGTAACAGATATCTACCTACTATAAATTGGAAAAATGATCAGTATTTTCAGACCTTCAATTTGAGGTCAATGTCAGGTCATGATGAAATTTTACCTTGACCTTCAAAGTGTAATATGACCTTGATCTTGTGATATTTGAAAGGTCAAGTGGTCCTGAGTTGAATGGTGGTAGTCCCATGTCTCTACATCTTCCGGTTCTCAAGTTTGGTATTGCATCATATATTTGATGATTCATTATGACCTTGATGAACTTCGGAATTGTCCCAAATTTTTTTCTGTAATGTTGTCCTTTTACTGTAGATCATTTTACTTTTAACATATTTGAGATAACTGTTGTCGTTTTAGAGAATATGCACTTCGAAATTTTGCGAGCGGCGGCATGTATTTCTGAATCAACAACAGGTAACCACCTGATATTTTCAGAAATTGAAGAGTTTAACATGGTTATATGTTTGACAAAATACCAAAAACATTCAATGAAAAAAAACCCCAAAAAATCAATTTGAAGTTTTCATGTTTTGCATTTACTTTGTAAGTTTCATAAGTTCTATTTATATAATTGATATTGCATCATTTTTGGCACTTTGCCAAATGGGGTCATTTGATATATCAAATTGAAGGTCTTAACGAGCTCTACTCAAAAATGAAAATGTTAAACCCCTTTTTCATCCTAGGGGGAAGGGTGGGGTCATTTAGTGCAAAAAATTCAAACTTCTCAGATGGTTAGGTTGTCGCATATCAAATGAAAGTCCATAAAGCGTACATTTCAAATATCAAATTGACGTCCCCAAAAAATGGGTTGGGTGGGGTCATTGAGTGCAAAAAATAAAATTTTCTTTTAAGGCAAGTTTGTTGTATATCAAATGAAAGGTCGTAACATGTACATTTCAAATATCAGATTCCTGTCCTCAAAAAATGAGTTGGATGGGGTTATTTAGTGCAAAAATCAAACTTTCTAGAACATGGCGTTGTCGCATATCAAATGAAAGATCATAAAGTCTAGATTACATATATCATACTTCCGATCTCGAAAATTAAGGCGGATGGGGTCATTAAGTGTAAAAAGCAAAAAGTTTCAGAAGGTATGCTTGTCGTATATCAAATGAAAGGTCGTACAAAGTACATTACGAAAACATCACTTTAACAGGAAAGACCTTTCAATTGTTTTACAAACAATTGAGATACTAGTTCTTTTTCTTTTTCTTTTTTTTTTTTCTTTTTTTTCTTCCAACATTTTTTTAACATGCCCTACCCCCGTTTCTGTTGAAGTTATCAAGACCAAATATGGACCATCGATAGACCTCATCATGAAGTATAACCAGATGACCCTGTTAAGGATTTCATCAACCCCTTTAGAAGTTATCTCCCTTTTATTGGTTTTTTTCGACATGGCCCCCCCTCGTTGTTTTTTAAGATAACATGTCTTTTTGTGGGCAATAGGTAGATCTCATTTTGGTGTATTACCATATGAGGCTGCGTAGAATTTCATTATCCCTTTTGAGAGTTATATCCCTTTGAAGCAATTTCTTTTATTTGCTTTTTTTTTCAAAAGTGTTAGAGATAGAATCGATTTGAAAATGGCAGCATGTACAAGAACACATGACAATGTTAATAAACATAAACAATTATTTTGATATTAACCTTTATAAGGAGTGATTCCCCTTTAAAAATTATACACAATTTAAAAAAAATTCTATTTCGAGAACTGGAAGTCGTAGAAACTTCGGACCTTCACCAATAATCTTTAATTCATGTGACCTTTAATTTGCACCCAAGGTCAAAGGTCACCGAGTGCGAAAAAAAATTACGCTGCAATTTCAAGCTTGCATATTATGAAAACGATAGGAGTTTGCTGCATACATACTGTGTATAAAATGTTCCTCTCGACAAGCTCTACATTTTATACATTAAGCTCAAACATGTCCGACCGTCTGTTCAAAAGTTACATCAAGATAATTCTTAAAAGTATAGTATTGTGTGAATATATTTTAAATGGTAACATATAACAACCTACTATAAACTGCAAATATGATCAGTAATTCAAGACCTTCAATTTGAGGTCAATGCCAGGTCATGATGAAATTTAACCTTGACCTTCAATGTGTACTATGACCTTGACCTTGTGACATTTGAAAGGTCAAGTGGTCCTGAGTTGAATGGTGGTAGTCCCATGTCTCTACGACTTCTGGTTCTCAAGTTTGGTATTGCATCATATATTTGATGATTCATTGTGACCTTGATGAACATTGGAATTGTCCCAAATTTTTTTCTACAATGTTGTACTTCAACTGCATATCATTTATCATTTAACAGATTTGAGATATCTGTTGTCGTTTAAGAGATAATGCAGTTTAAAATTTTGCGAGCGGAGGCATGTATTTCTGAATCAACAACAGCTTTGCGCCTGAAATTTTCAGAAATTGAAGAGTGTAAGATGGGAATATGTTTGACTAATTACCAAAAACTTTCAATGAAAAACTAAAGAAAAAAATCAATTTGAAATTTTCATCTTTTACATTGACTTTGTAAGTTTCATAAGTTTTATTTATATAATTGATATTGCATCATTTTTGGCTCTTTGCCAAATGCGGTCATTATGTATATCAAATTGAACGTCTAAATGAGCTCAACTCAAAAATGAAAATTTCAAACTCCTTTTTCATCCCAGTGGGAAGGGTTGGGTCATTAAGTGCAAAAATTTCAAACTTCTCAGATGGTTAGGTTGTCGCATATCAAATGAAAGTCCATAAAGCGTACATCTCAAATATCAAACTGACGTCCCCAAAAAATGGGTTGGGTGGGGTCATTGAGTGCAAAACATAAATTTTCTTTTAAGATAAGGTTGTTGTATATCAAATGAAAGGTCATAACGTGTACATTTCAAATATCAAACTCCTGTTCTCCAAAAACTAGTTGGATGGGGTTATTAAGTGCAAAAATCAAACTTTCTAGAAGATGGTGTTGTTGCATATCAAATGAAAGATCATCAAGTCTACATTACATATATCATACTTCCGATCTCGAAAATTAGGTGGATGGGGTCATTAAGTGTAAAAAGCGAAAAGTTTCAGAAGGTATGCTTGTCGTATATCAAATGAAAGGTCTTAAAGAGTACATTACAAAAACATCACTTTTGCAGGAAAGACCTTTCAATTGTTTTACAAACAATTGAGATACTAGTTACATAGTGTTATTTTTCTCATCAAAACCAAGGCAAAAATCGTATTTTAACCCAAAAATTAAAAAAAATCAGTGTTAGAACTTTAAACTTTTAAACATAAACATGGTCTGTTTAAAATTTTGAATGCCTTTGCAGATATTTGAATACTTAATTATCATCTTCGAAATTAAGTGCCGACTTTTCTGCAAAATAAATTTGACCCCTGTGTTCAATAACTCGGTATTTTGTAACTTACTAATTTGGTCATATTCTTTTAATCATATGCATTTGCTTTGTACATGAATGTTTTTCATAGGATAATTTAAAAGATTTTCCTATTTATTATATTTTATGATAAATTATAGTTCAAACTTGTGTATCGTTTCTTTTGTTGACTAGTATATTTATTTTTATTTCGGTTGGGGAATTTTAACTAGTTAGAACTGATAATAAGTAATGGAATGAATAAGCTGACCAAGAGGAAGTGGTAACTGAACATAACCTATCATGTCGAAAACAGGATGAAATGAATATCCTACTCAAAATTAAGAATTGTTATGAACGAAATCGAAAGTAAATTTTCGACGGCTTTGCCGGCCCCCAAAAATGAGCCTGCATAGAAACCGGTAAACATGAATGACTATTGTGAAGCTAACCGGCGATAACAGTCGGCCGCTTACTATTCACTAGGGCAACCTGCAATAATATACATGAGATGACCTGGGTTCGATGAAGTGTTGTAAGAAAATATCAATTATAAGGATAAAATAATGTTTGCTGATTATATTTGATATTTCTACAAATAACAATAAATTCTTAACTCAACGGGTGTCTTCTTCGAGGTCTGCGTTTACTTAATCAATTATAAAAAGGGAACGCTTACGTAAACCGATAGTTTACAAATATTTTTCGGTAAATTATAAAAAATGCCAATTGAAACATCAATGAAAAGCCTTTTATATTTAAACATTAAGCTGAACCAAAAATACAATCTACAGATGCTTCTTAGTAAAGACACATTCCATATAAGATTACAAAATGGTTCTTATTAAATTCTCTTACATGCCGACGTGATTTTTTACTGGTTTTAAATCACTTTCAGAGTTATACAGTTCTCATATTACATACAATTGTTTTCAACGATATTTAACAGTTCAGACTAAAGATAAAACCAATTACCCCCACCCTATGCTGACAAAGTCGTACGGGTTTAGGGCATATGTACCATGAGACAGTTAGCAGTAACATCTGGTACCATGACCAACGTGAATAATCTATAGGTTTGTACAGCCGGCAATAGTTCAGTTGGACAATGTGCATCAGAATATCAGGACTCCCCCCCCCCCCCCTCCTCAAAAAAACAAAACAAAACAAACCTGTTGACAAACGGGTCTCGGCATAAATGATAATGGCCATTTTAGAGGCAATGTCGTCTTCTTCTACCTCTTGTATCATGGCCAACGTGACGACTCTCTTAGTTTGGCCAAACGGCATTAGTTAAGTCGGACTATGTGACATACAAGGATACCAGGACCCACACAAGCTGAAAATCTTGTACGGGTCTAGCCATAAACACTATGGGCCATTTTAGAGGCAATGTCTTCTCCTACCTCTTGTATTATGGCCAACGTGACGTATCTCTTAGTTTGGCCAGCCGGCAATACTTAAGTCGGACTACGTGACATACTAGGATACAAGGACCCTGACAAGCTGAAAATCTCGTACGGGTCTAGACATAAACGCTATGAGCCAACTTAGAGGCAATGTCTTCTTCTACCTCTTGTATTTTGGCCAACGTGACGTATCTCTTAGTTTGGCCAGCCGGCAATACTTAAGTCGAACTACGTGACATACTAGGATACCAGGACCCCGACAAGTGAAAATCTCGTACGGGTCTAGGCATAAGTCCTATGGGTCATTTAAGAGGCATTTGTTTCTTTTACCGCTGGAATCATTGCCAACGTGATACATCTCTTAGTTTGATCAGCGGCAATAGTCGGACTATGTGACAAACCAAGTACCCCAACCCTATGCTTTAAACTCGTACGGGTCTTGAGCAGCAGTGCTGTGAGCCATTATAGAGGCAATATATACTTTTACTCCTGGTATCATGGTTAACGTTAATAATCTCTTAGTTTGGCCAGCTGGCAATAGTTAGGTCGGACAATGTGACATCCACCCCCTCCCCCCCAAAAAAAACCCCTGCTGACAAACTCGTACGGGTCTAGGCATAAATGCTTATGGCCATTTTAGATGCAATGTCGTCATCGTCTACCTCTTGTATTATGGCCAACGTGACGACTCTCTTAGTTTGGCTAGCCGGCATAAGTACTAAGTCGGATTATATTTGTTGCATAGTGTGCTAGTGACCTAATATGATATATATGGGGTCAGTGAATCCCCATATTGAATTTACTGACCCCATATATGTCAAAGTGATCAAGTCTTCAATACCGTTAGTATTAATATAAGAACCTTCTTCCATTGGTCTATACAAAAGCAAATGCCAAAAATAACAACTTGTCAGCTTTAAATGTGTTTTATGAATTGATTTCAATCGTTCACCGTCAATTTCTTCGTCTGTTGAAACCTTTTAGATTTTCCCTCAACACCGTGTTGTTTTTATAAAGGGACGTAACACCACTACTAGTCGTGTATTGAAATAAGCTCCGCCTACTAACCCAATATGGAATATACATGGTCTCCACGCGGTTGCTTTTAACCAATCATATTCCTAGAAATATATAGGAGGTAAGATAATGTGAGGATACAAGGATACCAGGACCCCCCCCCTTTTCACAAGCTGAAAATCTCGTACGGGTCTAGCCATAAACACTCCTGGCCATTTTAGACCCAATGTCTTCTGCCTTTTTTTATTATGGCCAACGTGACATATCTCTTAGTTTGGCCAGCCGGCAATACTTAAGTCGAACTAAGTGACATGCTGGGATACCAGGACCCTTACAAGTTAAAAAATTCGTCCGGGTCTAGGTATTAGTCATATGGGTCATTTTAGAGGCATTGTCTTCTTCTACCGCTGGTATCATTGCCAACGTGATGAATCTCTTAGTTTGGCTAGCAGGCAATAGCCGGACTATGTGACAAACCAGGTACCCCCGACCCTATGCTTAAAGCTCGTACGGGTCTAGAGCATCAGTGCTGTGAGCTATTTTAGAGGCAATGTATACTTTTATCCCTGGTATCATGGTTAACGTTAATAATCTCTTAGTTTGGCTAGCTGGTAATAGTTATGTCGGAAAATGTGACATCAGAACATCAGGACACCCACCCCCTCCCGCTAAAAAAAAAAAACCTGCTGACAAACTCGTACGGGTCTAGGCATAAATGCTTATGGCCATTTTAGATGCTATGTCGTCATCTTCTACCTCTTGTATCATGGCCAACGTGACGACTCTTAGTTTGGCCAGCCGGCATTAGTACTAAGTCGGAATATATTTGTTGCATAGTGTGCTAGTGACCTTATATGATATATATGGGATCAGTAAATTCCATATATTGAATTTACTGACCCCATATATCAAAGTGATCAAGTCTTCAATACTGTTAGTATCAAGAACCTTCTTCCATTGGTCTATTCAAAAGCAAATGCTAAAAATAATAACTTGTTAGCATTAAATGTGTTTTATGAATTTATTTCAATCGTTCATCGTCAATTTCTTCGTCTGTGGAAACCTTTTAGATTTGTTCTCAACACCATGTTGTTTTTATAAAGGGACGTAACACTACTACTAATCGTGTATTGAAATAAGCTCCGCCTACTAACCCAATATGGAATATACACGGTCTCCACGCGGTTGCTATTAACTTTAACCAATCATATTCCTAGAAATGTACAGGAGGTAAGATAATGTGAGGATACAAGGATACCAGGACCCCCCCCCCCCCCCATCCCCCCCCATACAAGCTGAAAATCTCGTATGGGTCTAGCCATAAACACTATGGGCCATTTTAAACGCAATGTCTTCTTCTGCCTCTTGTATCATAGCCAACGTGACGTATCTCTTAGTTTGGCCAGCCGGCAATACTTAAGTCGAACTATGTGACATACTGGGATACCAGGATCCCTACAAGCTAAAAAAAACTTCGTACGGGTCTAGGCATAAGTCATATGGGTCATTTTAGAGACATTGGCTTCTTCTACCGCTGGTATCATTTCCAACGTGATGAATCTCTTAGTTTGGCTAGCAGGCAATAAACGGACTATGTGACAAACCAGGTACCCCCGACCCTATGCTTAAAGCTCGTACGGGTCTAGAGCATCAGTGCTGTGAGCTATTTTAGAGGCAATGTATACTTTTATCCCTGGTATCATGGTTAACGTGAATAATCTCTTAGTTTGGTTAGCTGGTAATAGTGAAGTCGGACAATGTGACATCAGAACATCAGGACACCCACCCCCTCCCGCTAAAAAAAAAAAAAACCTGCTGACAAACTCGTACGGGTCTAGGCATAAATGCTTATGGCCATTTTAGATGCTATGTCGTCATCTTCTACCTCTTGTATCATGGCCAACGTGACGACTCTTAGTTTGGCCAGCCGGCATTAATACTAAGTCGGAATATATTTGTTGCATAGTGTGCTAGTGACCTTATATGATATATATGGGATCAGTAAATTCCATATATTGAATTTACTGACCCCATATATCAAAGTGATCAAGTCTTCAATACTGTTAGTATTAAGAAACTTCTTTCATTGGTCTATTCAAAAGCAAATGCTAAAAATAATAACTTGTTAGCTTTAAATGTGTTTTATGAATTTATATCAATCGTTCATCGTCAATTCCTTCGTCTGTGGAAACCTTTTAGATTTTTTCTCAACACCATGTTGTTTTTATAAAGGGACATAACACTACTACTAATCGTGTATTGAAATAAGCTTCGCCTACTAACCCAATATGGAATATACACGGTCTCCACGCGGTTGCTATTAACTTTAACCAATCATATTCCTAGAAATGTATAGGAGGTAAGATAATGTGAGGATACAAGGATAC